TATCCCAGAGATTTCGATGCCTTTTGATATTCGCGCATATCGGACCTTAACTTCCGTAATTAATTATGTCCTCTGATTTTACGAAAAATCGCTTTTTTTAGATTGTTTTCTGCCCATCTCTTGTAAAATGTGGGCGTATCTTGCATGGCAACCGCTTGTTTTGTTTGTTTTTAGATAAGTTATTTGAAACAGAACATGATCATCTACTTTCCAAGAATTCTACTCAGTGTTGATTTTCTGGGAATTTTATGATTATGTTATAGCTTGATCTTCAACTTGGATATTATAGGCTACTTGACAATGTGTACTCAATGTGCATGTTCGGGCATGTAGATCGACATGCGAATATTGTGTTACCAATTGCAGTGACCGACCTAAACTCATAAAACACTTACATGTAGTCATATCAAAGTTTTATCAGCCAATTCAGAAACTTGTAGCTTAATATTATATTTTATTTTTATTCGTCATTTGTGTTCTGCCATACGAGTAATATTCGTAGTCGTAGGCCTAATCACATCAATGTCGGTAACTTTCTAAACAATTAGAAGCCGTCGTATCTGTCGTTTCGTTAAAAATATGTTTCGCGGATGAAGGTAAGAAAACTGAGTCTATCCTTCTTATTTTCGGTTCATGTAAATAACTATTAGTAGTCAGCCATTATTATAATCTGTGAAATTTTGCTGTCTAGCTAGACATGTCAATAACATTTTAAAAAAATCGTAGCTTAGCGGAAGGACACAATGCAGCGCTATACAAAAGGGACGTAACGGCTCGCGACTCGATGAAATGGAGTTTAACGTCCTACTATTCTGCTCCTAACCTGGGCTAATGAAGACGGGCATACGCCATACAGTGTGCTATGAGGGAAATTTTGCCCGGACAGCGGCACTACGGCCTACTCATATCGAATTCCAACTGCCAAGGGATCTTTTACGTGCACGCCAATGTGTACACGGGACCTCCGAACGACTAGACATCTTTACTTGTCAGCCCCTCCGTCCTGCATCACTGACAAGGGAGAACCACGCCGGAAAATCTGGGTGAACTTTCTCGGCCAATGCAGGGATCGAACACCCGACCTCCAGGCTAGCGAGCTAGCGTCTTACCCACTTAGCCACGTGATCCCCGGCTCGCGACTCGATCTTTCGGTTGTTTTAAGCCCGGCCCATACCGCTACGACTACACACAAGCCGACAGGACTCAGCGTCTTGGGTAGTTGTAAAAAAAAATCGGGTCGCGCCTTTACTTCACTTGCCTACGACGGTACCATTTCACACAGGCCCGACTCTCACAGATTATGCTTCGTGAGTTACGCGTCAATCATGCTGGGTTGTAGAGACATGGGCGTACCTCCCACATGTAAAACAACCCATCCTCTCTCTCTTCTGTCCAAAAATCTGCCATCTTGAATTTTCCCTCAGTTAAACAAGGAGCACATGACCTGCACAGTCACATGACTAAATGCTACTCTGATTGGCTAAACATCAGTAAGACAATTGATCGCGTAGTGTGAGTGTCCAATCAAACACGATAAGTTACGACTGCAACCAACTGCATCCGACTACGATTGAACATGTTCAATCGGGCCGACGGGCCACGACGCGACGGAAATCGATTGAATCGTGGTCGTGGGACTGTCCACACTGCACTGATTATCTGAGACAAGACGTTGCGTTGGGTAGAGTCTGGGCAAGTCGTGGCGGTATGGGCCGGGCTTTAATGCGTATCCACATTTCTATGCGTAATCATTGACTAATTTGCATAATTAGACACTACATCGAGCCAATCAAAAGAAGTGTTGAACGAGACGATTTCATGTTTAAAAGTAGCAGATTTGCGAAATTACAATCTCTAAAATTCATTCGCCAAAACTTTCGCCAGTACCATCAATTTGATTGCCAATAAAAAGAATCATTGATATTGGCGACTTGATGAATGTCTAGGGTGGTCACTGCAATTGGTATTTGTAAGCTGACTCTGATTTCATATTTATGTTATAACCTAATCATGCAGAAAGAGGCAGATTAAACAGCTTGTCAACTGTCCAGTCGTTCGGATGGGACGAATACCCGAAGTCCCGTGTATACATTGGTGTGCACTTAAAAGAATCCTTGGCAGTTGGAATTCGATATAAGAGTAAGCCATAATGCCGCTGCCCGGGCAAAATTTCTCCCATAGCACACGTATGCCCGTCTTCATTAGCCCAGTATAGGACTAGGAGCAGAACAGTAGGGCGTTAAACCCCATTTCATTTCTTAATTAGACATTAACAAGACCATAATCAACTCTCTATGCCATCGGACGCCTGCGATGTTTAGTGGATTCAAATACATTTTCTGGTGGATGTGGTTACCGTAAAAATTGATAATCGGGACTTTGTTTATTATCGTAACACCGGTAGTAATTACAATCGAGGATAGACTGTAATTGTATCGCCGATATCTTGGCTCAGAGTGACGTAATGTGACTGAAATTTCAGCATATTCCCTTTTCATTATCTATTGTTTAACTATTATAGCGATAACTGTCAGCTCTTGATCTAATCTCACCTACTGCCCCTTTAAACGTTGATCCCGAAGAGCAGAATGTCTAGTTGGTGTGTCCTTATACTTGTACCTGTGTGACCTGGTTATGTATTTTGTGTCTATTGATGATATATAATTATATAGACTTTGTTAAAAACATTTGATATCATTTTAAATACCACCTTGTATGAAGCAGGCATTAGGTTTTATTTCATTAGTACATATGGATACAGGTCACCATTGGTTCTTTCGTAGGTTAGTACGAATTTAGTTTTTAGTTTAGAGTTTCTCTTCATTTTGCCTACTTTTGCATGGCATGAATTTTGTTGACTTTTTGATGTAGAATCGAAGAAAAGGTGTGAATGTATATTTTCTACCCGATGTTGGTGAATATTCATGATTTTGAGGCGAGTTAAGAGGTTGGTTAGGTTGAAATGTTGGGCCGACAGTGGCATGTTTACTTCTATGTTACTTCGAGTTTGTACCTTTTGTTAACCACTGAGAGAGAGAGAGAGAGAGAGTTTAATTTCCACTCGACCCAAACTAGGCCATTAAAGACCCGGAGAAACCCACGAGGTTGCACAGTCGACCCTACCCCTTGTTACGTACAACCACGCCAGTCCTTATGAGGCAACGTGCACACGCCTACAAAACATTCGGCCATTCACCCCCCACACCCGTTGAAAAACATTTGTTGACCAGTGGCTGTATATCTACTGGAAAATTGGTCAAATGATCTCCTAGAGGTCACAATTTTGATGAAATTTGAAACGCATAACTATAACCCATAGATCTTGGTTCTTGTCGATATTCGCGCATATCCGATCGTAACTTCCTGAATATGGCCCTTAATTGTACGAAAAATCGCGTTTTGAGCTTGTGGTCCCTATAGAGGATACAATTTTTATCCAATTTAAAAAAAAAACGTGTGAATATATCACAGTTATACACTAATGATGGTTGAATTCGAATTTCGTGAAAATTTGAAAAAAACTGACGGATATAATGGCCGTACCTTGTACGCAAACAGTGTACAAATATGGTATATCAAGGTTGTGGAGACTCTAGAGTCCACAGTTTATATGCGATTTGGATGAAAATTTAAATATATGTTTTTATCATAAAGATCTTGGTTCCTTTTCATAATCACACATAACCGAAGGTAACTTCCTGGATTATGGCCCCTGATTGGTCGAAAAATCGTATTTTTAGCTTGTGGATTTTCTAGTGGTCACATTCCACCATAATGAAGTTTGAATTCGAATTTCGTGAAAAATCGAAATGAAACTGCCTGACAAAATGACCGCTCGTTGTACGCAAATTGTGTAAAAGTATGCAATATGAAGGTTGTGGACCCTGTAGAGATCACAATTTTTATCTGATTTTGATGAAACTTAAAACTTATCTTTATATCCCAAAAATCTCAGTCTCTTTTGATATTTGCGCCTTTAAGACCATAACTTTCTCAATTATTGCCCCTGATTGTACAAAAAATCGCGTTTGTTTTTAGCTGGTTCTCGATCCATCTCTTGCAAAATGTGGGCGTATCCTGCCTGGCAGCCGCTGGTTTTTTAAAACTATTATTGGGAATACGTCACCGACACTACAGTACAAATTTGTTTACAAAAGCATTCTAAAGTGTGACAACTGACATATTTCAAGCTTCACTATGCTTTAAGAAATAATTTAGATGGGGCGGTTCAAGCCTTATCTCCAATTTTTGTTCGATCTATAAAAGCCTACATTTCTAAAAATGTTAATTTAGTCAAGTGAAACAAGGAAAATCATAACTCGGGGTCAGTAAATTCATCTGAATAAATCTGGATATCATGTTAGGACAACCTAACAATGGCTCTCTTACAGTGTGTAACTAAAAACTATAATTGGATTTTTGTAGAAATAGTTAAGGTGCATGGCATACGGTTATACAAACCTCCCAGGTAGCACAATGAGCTCTATAATCAATGACATAAGAATATCGATCTATGACATCTGCCGAAACACCTCGCAGGTTACGTGTAGGATAAATCACGAGACTGGGGTTATACTGGGGAAAGAAAGACTGAAGCAAATAACCCGAGTAAAAGAAAAACCGATATTTACTGGATTTGAATCCGATTTGCTGCGCAACGCTCTTTGATGATTTAAAACTGGATATTCGAGACTATGTTTTTTATCGCACTGACTTTAGTAATGATGATCGAGGCTAGGCCTAAAATTCAAAATCAAATATGACGGTTCAGAGAGGATCAATTTGTGTGGAATTTTCAGAAAATTGTTTATACTTTATCTAGTTTTTAATTATTGTAGTGTGAACTGCCAGCTCTTTATCTAATCTTCCATAATACCACTTTAATTTGTTGGGTGTCTTGTAAATAAATATGCGACAACCCTTGTGAACTGCTTGAATGGCTTAACTGCTGTGGGCGTATGTTTCGTCGCCTGTCATCATATCTTTTTTTATATTCTTAGTTTCTCACAGTATGGCTGATAAAATAACTCCAGGAAAGGTACTTATTTACTTATCTTCTAACTCTTTTCTTTGACATGTTTATTAAAATTTAACGTTGTTGTAATTTGTTAATCTGTCTAACATCGTCAATAGTCCTACCGGAAAACATGCGCATGTGCAACTGTGTTGTTTTAGGTGGGCTCTAAACTATTCAGATTGTATAGGCTACGTTCTGAGATCGACCAGAACATCTAGACAAATATTTTTGTTGCACACTTCCCCCTCCCCTCTTAGTGTTTAGTTTTAGATATGTCTATTGCGAGATTATGAAGCCGGGCATACGCCATACACTGTACTATGAGTAAAATTGTGCCAGGACAGTGGCTTACTCTTTCTTATATCGAATTCAGTTCCATCTGCCATGGGTTCCTTTGTGTGCAAGTCACTGTGTGCACAGGACCTTGGTTTTGTTTCGTCCCATCTGAAAGATTATACGTTGTTCCTTGCGCCACTGGCATTGGCAAGCTGGGACCACACCGGAATATCCTATAAAAAGTCTCAGTGGTTTTATCCGCATGCGTGAGTTGAGCGTTTATTCACTCTTTCGTTGACTTTGCATGATCTTTGTGAGTAGGTCAACTATACAGAGTTGCAGACCGTGCACAGTGTGGCGGACCCTGGTGGACGGCTTTAGGTAACTGCGCGACCAAATAATAATCGATTTATTCTGTTATTTTTCTGTTCCTTTGAAATGTGCAAATTCTGAAGTTTTACTGGTTTGTAAAGATGTCGCGGACGGAGTTATATGTTATAATTGGGTCCTGATATGCGCCAAGAATAGATTAGACTAGCAGGATACCCGGCTTCGGAAGTGGTAGACTAACGCCACCTGGCCTATGTTACTCCCCGGTCCGAGCTACCCCTATACCCCAAATTTCAGACTCGGGGCAGACCTTGTAGCCGCCAACCCCGAACAGACAGACAGACAAACAGACAGACAAACGACAGTAACAAATATTAGTATAGATGAGGCTTCAGCTAGACTGGCTCTGCATCACGCCATTCTATACGCCAACGAAGCCAGTCAACCAAAAGGACAGATTTTGAGCGAACCTCGGGTGGGTTTTCAACTGTTACGGGATCTCGTGCCTATTTGTTATGTGCCTCCTTGTTAGTTTTTTTTTCTTCTTCCAGGCTAGTACTAGTGGTTATGGTAAACGGACCTTGGAGGACCAGGAAGAGCATGTCAATAGCCGTAAGGGTAAAGTAAGTTTCTTAGCCACCCAAAATGATCCCTTTGAATCTTTAATTCTACTGACCCGTGATGAGCTCGTAAGTCTTGTGAGATATTACGGACATAAAGATCCCCCCCACCCTCTTAGTGTTTAGTTTTTAGATATGCCATGGGTTCCTTTGTGTGCACAGGATCTTGGGGTTTTTTTTCGTCCCATCTGAAAGATAATACGTTGTTCTTTGCACCACAGGTCAGTGATGCAGGACGGAGAGCCTGACAAGGACAGCTGTCTAGTCGTTCGGATGGGACGAAAAACCGAGGTCCCGTGTACATATTGGCGTGCACATAAAATATCCCTTGGCAGTTGGAATTCGATATAAGAGTAGGGCCGTAGCGCCACTGCCCGGACAAAATTCCCCCCATAGCACACTGTATGGTGTATGCCCGTCTTCATTAGCCCAGGTTAGGAGCAGAACAGTAGGACGTTTAACCCCATTTCATTTCATTTCATTTCATTTCATTTCTAGGTCAACACCATAGAGGTATATATTGACTAGAGTGTATTGTGGTCACGTGATCCCCATTGGCGTAACGTTTACGCCGTGGGCCGTCACTGGAGACCGGCCGCCATGTTTCAACCGGGAAAGAATGACAGAAGTCTAAAATGGCTGCCAACCTCCATAGGATCACGTGACCACTATTGTCAACACCGGGATTGAACACGTGACCCCCAAGTTAATGAGCCAACGTCTTACTCAATGATCCACCGTGGACCCTCTACTGCTAGAACATGGCTTGATAATCATACTTAATCCTACAATAAGTCAGTAATAGAATTGGAAAATCCAGAATTCAATCATCTATTTTGCCATTGTAACCAAATTTTAGCCATTGAAATAGCCTTTACCATCCCCGACCTAACCACCACCATTCGCCTTATGTGTTTGAAAATGGACTGAAAGGTTTGGTATGTCGAGTTTGAAAATCGTTCGGGTTTGTAAATAAACCGGGAGGGTTGGTATGTCGGGTTTGTAAATAAACTGAGAAGGGAAAATGGTACAGAAACTCTAGAGAAACTGGTTTCTATTGGCAGAGAAGGATTCGAAAAATGAACAGCATTTTGTGTATCATCTTTTGAAAATAAAGATCTCTTGGTAAAATGAGGTTAACAAATGTTCATATTCTGTTTGTAGGTTTGCCTATTGTCCTGCCAGATAATCAAAAATAAAATAGTCCATGGATTTTAATATTGTTTTATTTCTTTTATACAGGTATTCAATGATCCTGTTCACGGCCATATTGAAATTCATCCCCTTTGTATAAAAATTATTGATACACCAGAATTTCAACGTCTACGTTATTTAAAACAACTAGGTGCTTGTTATTATGTCTTCCCTGGTGCATCACATAATAGATTTGAACATTCCATAGGGTATGTTAGAATATATATATTTCCTATAGACTATTAATTGAATGATGTACAAAAAATGAAATGAAGACGGGTATATGTCGTGCATTGTGCTATGAGTGAAACTTTGAATGTCTACATTAGCCCTATCGGCACAGAAAAGTAGGACGTTAAATCCCAATTTGATTCATTGATTTCTTTCATTTTTCCATTTCCAGAGAGAGAGAGAAAGGGGGTTTAACGTCCACTTGACACAAACTAGGTCATTTCGGTACTAACATATGGTTTAATTTTATTTCGATAATTCGCTTGCGCGTAGGGGTTTTAACTGTGGGAGGAAACCGGAGGATCCGGAGAAAACCCACGAGGTTGGACAGGCGACCCTAATCCTTGTCACGTACAATCGGGGATTCGAAACCACCCTATTTGACTCAGAGAGAGAGAGAAATTGGGTTTAACGTTCACTCGACACAAACTATGTCATTTCGGGACTAACATATGGTTTAATTTTATTTCGATGATTCAGGGTTTTAACGGTGGGAGGAAACCGGAGGATCCGGAGAAAACCCACGAGGTTGGACAGGCGACCCTAATCCTTTTCACGTACAATCGGGGATTCGAAACCACCCTATTTGACTCAGAGAGAGAGAGAGAGAGAGAGAGAAATGGGTTTGACGCAAATTTATGTTGAAATTTATACAATTTCTCCCTAGATTAATTTTAAAGAAATTTTCAATATATTCATTTTTCATTATTTATTTATGAAGTAAATATATTATAGCAAGATTGGCTAACTCTGTATCAAAATCATAAACAATACATCTTGAAGCAATAATGTTGTCAGATAAAGCTATAGTGTGTATATAATGTAATAATGTTGTCAGATACAGCTATAGCTCCGGTGTAATAACGAGCTCTTTATTTTAGTGTTTGTCATCTTGCTGGTGAGATGGTCTCACGACTTCAAGAACAACAACCAGAGCTTGATATAACTCCTGTTGAGGTATTATGTCTGAAAATAGCTGGTCTGTGTCATGATCTGGGTAAGATTTTACATATGTTAGTCTAGAAATAACCTTGTTGGGTTGAGTGATGTATATCTAATGTTGGGTTGAGTGATGTATATTTAATGTTGGGTTTTTGTTTTCAGGTCATGGTCCATTCTCACATGTATTCGACGGCAAATTTATACCGTTAGTTGTTTCAGAATCTAAATGGAAAGTGAGTAATCTTCTTTAAACATCTCCAGCTATATCTTGTATACCATAGCAACAATTGATGTTTACATACTTCCAGACTATATCCCCCATCGCAACTATCGATGTTTACATACCTCCAGAATTTATCCCCAATAGCAACTATTGATGTTTAAACACCTCCAGACTATATCTCCCTTAGCAACTATCGATGTTTACAGACCTCCAGACTATATCTCCCATCGCAACCATTGGTGTTTACATACCTCCAGACTTTATCTCCCATAGCAACTACTGATGTTTACATCATCTCCCATAGCAACTACTGATGTTTAAATACCCCAGATTTTATCTCCCATAACGAATATTGGTATTTTATTGTGGCTATTACCCGTATCAACCTTCATTATTAGTTGTTGATAATGAGATAATATATAACCTCATATAATCACATGCTTTGATAATTACAAGGACAAGGTAAGTAGGGGCTGATACTAGGCCGATTATTGTTATAGTTTGTGTGGATGTGTAAGTCAGATAGCAACCTATTTCCACGGTTTCTAAACTTAAATATATGAAAATTAAGGCCTTCCAGAAAAGCACACAATTATATTTTATTTTTTTATACGCCCACATTGTTATGTAGAAGTACATTGTCGTTGCTCCTGTCCATCCGTTCACATTTTGTTTGTGGGCACTCTGTAGGTCACAATTTTTATGCAATTTATAGGGTTATATGCCAAAGACCCAGGTTCTTTTCAATATTGGCATGTATGGGACCATAAAATCGCCATCTTAGCTTGTTTTTATGTCCATACTGTACCTCAGTTGGCTGTTAGTAGCTGATAGTGTGATGCACTTGGACAGGGTATGTTGTATGCTTAATCTTTCTGGAACACCTGGAACCTGCCACTAGCCATTCTGTGTCAAATCAAGTATTAATGTTTGTATATTTTCCCCCTATATAGCATGAAGAGGCATCAATTCTAATTCAATCAAGTATTTATGTTTGTATATATTTATTCCTCTATATAGCACGAAGAGGCATCGATTCAAATGTTTGACCATTTGATAGAAAAAAACAACCTGGAGAAAGATTTTCTAGAATATAATTTGACGTTTAAGGAGAGAGAATTTATTAAAGAACTAATTAATGGACCATCGGATGACAAAGATAAAGGTTCAGATAAAGTAAGTTTATTATAATAACATTGTATTAAAAGGTTTAGATAAAGTAAGTTTATTATTATAACATTGTATTAAATGGTTCAGATAAAGTTAGTTTATTATTATAACATTGTATTAAAAGGTTCAGATAAAGAAAATTTATTATTATAACATTGTATTAAAAGGTTTAGAATATCGGTAGTTATTGGTATTTGACTATTCAATTAATTAAAGATCGTTAAGAGGCATTTAGGAAAAATGACGCGTTTTTGGTGCATTTTTAAATTACAAAAAAACTATAAATCATTCAAGTCAATATAATTATTTGTTTTGTTTGGTGGGGGTGGGCTTATAGAAGACAAATAGATTAATTTCTAGTCGTTAATTCCAGTCACCAAGTTACGTCGTAACTGGTTGTGAACAGTTTGAACGACATTTAGTAATTGAATACACATCAGTCCATGTGAAAGCAGTTACTGTTTGAGATACAATAATTGTTTTTATACGTCCGCATTGAAATGTTGACCGTTCGGAAGACTTAGCTGCAGTTATTTCTTAGAATATTGAGATGTTATAATCAACATATTATACAATGCATATTTTTTTTAACATTGATCATTGTCCCCAATTTGAGATAGTTCCCTAAAACTATGCAATAGCCTTGACCCAATTGGATGTGAAGCATAGGGACAGTGAGAGTATAAGCCCCATTGATTTTCCCCATTCTCTGTCTATCTCTTGCAAAAATGTGGGCGTATCGTGCATGGGAACCGCTTGTTAATAAATGTTTTTATTTATTCCAGAAGAAATATCTGTATGAAGTAAGTTTATAAAAATATAAAAATAACTGTTTATAAAATGTCTGAAATAAGTTTATAAAATATATGTATGGGGTAATTTAAGTATATAAAATATCTGTATGAAGTAAGTTTATAACATATGAAGTAATTTAAATTTATAAAATATCTGTATGAAATAAGCTATAAAATCACTGATATGGGGGAAACCACACTGGAAACTCCCGAGAAACTTTCGCAGCCAACAAAGGGATTAAACTCCCTATCTGAAAACCATTGTGAACTGCTCGGTCAGTTTTGCTGCCATGGGCAGTATGGACAGAAAACAAGCTAAGATGGCGATTTTATGGTCCCATACATGCCAATATTGAAAAGAACCTGGGTCTTTGGCATATAACCCTATAAATTGCATAAAAATAGCCTGGCAACCTATTTTGATTTTATGTTTTAGATTGTGGCTAATAAAAGAAATTCAGTGGACGTAGATAAATTTGATTACTTTGCTCGTGATTCGTACATGCTGGGGATCAAAAACAATTTTGATCATAATCGTTTCATGCGATTTTGTCGTGTCATCGAAGATGAATATGGTGAAAAGCGGATCTGCATCCGTGATAAAGTAAGTTTATAATGTAGGGGTATATTATCATGTCCGACTTCCAGTCACAGTCTCCTGTGAATGCTGTACATACAGGGTATAGTTATCACCCCATTTGCGTTTGCGAACACGAAAGAGAAATGAAATGGGGTGTAACGTACTACTGTTCTGCTCCTATACTGGGCTAATGAAGACGGGCATACACCATACAGTGTGCTATGAAGGAAATTTTGCCCGGGCAGCGGCACTATCGCCTACTCTTATATCGAATTCCAACTGCCAAGCTACCTTTTACGTGCATTCCAGTGTGTACACGGGACCTCGGTTTTTCATCTCATCCGAAGGACTAGACAGCTGTCCTTGTCAGGCCCTCCGTTCTGCACCACTGACAAGGGGAGACCACGTCGGAAAATCCCGATGAAATTTCTCGGCAAATGCAGGGATCGAACAGCCGACCTCCAGGCTAGCGAGCAAGCGTCTTAACCAACTAGCCACCGTGGCTCCCAAAAAAACCACGAAAGAGACGAAAAAAAAAAATTGGTCTTATTGTTCATTAATGGGGGGTTGGATGGCTGAATGGTTAGCGTGTTAATATAAAGGATGAAGGGGGGCTAAATTTACCTAATGTCAAATTAAAATGTCAAGCTTTATGTTTAAAATGGTTAAAAAAATTCTGTGATTCCAACTTCAAGTATATCTGGAAAGATATATTGAATTATTACATATGTAAATATACCGGGTTAACCACTCCTACAGATATATTAAAACTAGATTTAGATAGTAAGCTTTTATCAAATTTACCTGTATTTTACCAATATTTGTTCACTGCCTGGGATGATTTAGATTGTAAAGTTAGACCTGATCCTCTAACTATTGAAGATATATCTATACAGCCAATTTTTAATAATAAATATATCAAGGATAATAATAAAACTTTAGATTTTAAACTGTTTAAAACAGTAGGAATTAAGTGTATTTATGATATTATATATTTTGTACAACCTGGGTTTCTACCCAATCATTCTATAATTGACTATATGGATAATATGGATGTAGATTATGACCGAGATAAGATTATTAATTTGTATGATATTGTAAAATCATCAATTCCTGAAAGATGGAAATCTATTATTGAAACTCAGACTTCTGATCTGAAAAATAAAGATGTTATCACTTTAAATATTAATAATGTGAACATTAATTCAAGTGAACTTACATCCAAATTATGTGATAGTATTTTATTAAAGAATTATGTAAATGAGCCTACTTCCTATGAATATTGGGTGAAAAACAATTTTACACTTAATACTAATGTAATATGGAAAAATGTATTTAAGAATTACAAGAATCCTAGAAGTATAGATCTAGACTATAAAATATTACACAACATTATCTGGACAATGGAAAAATTATATAAAGTTAAGATAAGAGACTCAGATATATGCCCAGTTTGTAAATTAGACATAGAAAACATTATTCATATGTTTGTAGATTGTGATAAACTTGTTAACCTAAAATCACTACTAAGGTAGATAATTCATGATATTTTGAAATTTAGTATTGATGACTGTACTTTTAGATTCTTCTTATTGTTTGGTACTTATCATAACACAATTAAACATTTATTAAACCCTCACTTCTATTTATTTATGAAACAGATGGATCTATAACCTTGGATTTTTGATACCCCCGGGTCTCGAAACACTTTATCGAGACAACCCCTCCAGGGTTATAGTTATTTTCGGGCATATTTATGTTGCCCGGATGGTCTCGAAAACTTTCACCCTTTTAAAACCTTACAACTGTTTGGTTTTAAATTTTCGCTTATCTCTTCGAGACTTTAGGGGTATAAGCTAACATGTATAAGTCTAGTTTTGTTTCTTTGTTACAACACCATAATCCTTTAAAACATGTATATAACTAACATTTATGGAGATAAATAATATTTAATATCACAACAGAAACTAGTCAGTAAGCTAAGATTTGAATTTAAACCGTAATCTTATATATAGTTCGATATATGGGGATTTTAAACCTAAGTATAATTTTTTTAAAAAAATAATGTATCAAAGTAATAATGTGAAGAGAGAATTTTATATAATGGATAGAGATAATTAATATTTTTGATGATAACATAAATTATTGACGGTTTCCCCTTGACAGTGGCGCGGGACATGCCTAGTCATTCGGATGGAAAGAAAGAGCGGCTGGGGTCCTGTGTGCACCTTGGCATACACGTTTAAAGATTCCTTTGCAGTTGAAACGCATTATAAGAGTAGGCCGACCAGTTCGGAACAGAACAATAGGACGTTAAAGCATATTTCATTTCATTTCCTTTTCCTGAGCTAGTGGGAACAGATCATTGAGAGGTTAAAACCCATTACACTTCTTCCAAATATTAATATAAGAACCTTACTGTTTTACATTTTTAAAAAAAAATCCTAATCATACAAATTTGGTGACTTTAAACTTAAATTGCAAAAGTGTGAGAAAAATAATAATTTACACGAATGATCGTTAATGATCGTTAATAAGATTACGACAGAAGTGTAATTCTAGATTATTAATTGGGAAAGCAAAAAATCCTTTAAAACATATACAGAAATAGCAATGGTTGGAAATAATTAATATTTAATATCAAAACATAAATTATCCGGTAGAAAAAAATGAAATATATTATATTATGACAGTATGACCAGTCAGTGTCAACGAGAATATGTGCTTCAAACTTTAATAAAAATCTTAAACATATAAATATACTGCATTTTTTGATGACTTTAAGCTAAAATATAATAGTGCCAAAATAGAACTATATTAAGGTAATAATGTGCAGAGAAAATGTTATATACATGTTAAGAATCAAACATTATCAATTCATAATCTCCTTGGAGTGACAATTGTTGAACATTGTTCACATGAAAATAAGCTTCAAACTTAAATGACAAACCTCTATGTCCCAAAATTTACTATATTTAGTGACTAACAAACAAAACAATAAAGATGTACATGTAGGTAAGATAGTTGTGTTAAATTAATTATCTTCAGAGAATTCTGCCTTAACAGGTTTACAATAGCCCTTTTCAGTGTTAAATTGTAAGAGCACTGGAAGAACAAGACTTCTATGATGTATAGTGTTAAAATAGAACTGGAAGGTAAAGGCTTGCATACCTGGCACAGTCTACTGGGACACAGCGTCGCGCAGACGGCAGAAATCTAGTCTGCTACTTATTGTGTAAAATCTTATCAGCACGTAAAATAAAAGTGAATCCACTTTTAAATATAAATGATTAGAAAACGATAAAGTAACTAATTTTTGATTTTTAACTATGAATTGTAGTATTCGTATCGACTTAGATTACCCTTACTGAATATCAGATTAGCAACAATAGCTTTAACATCATATGTACATACTATGTAAATTTGTGTAATTATATCTTGATTGAATTTTCAAATTGAATAGCACAACCTTTTAATACATATTTTAATTAACCTAATATAAATATATTTATGAATTAATATATTGATCCATTGAATTATTGATTTATTATTTCATCAATGTGTTAATGTGTCAGTGGTTCTGTATTTTGATTCAGAAATTTATTTCTTGTCTTTTCCTTTTTCTTGTTTTTAAAAATAAATAAATAAAATCAAATAAACAAAAATAATGCTTTTAATTAACTAAGAATGTTTTGTGCTGTTCCATGATTAAAATGTATGTACAGTGTATTATGATTATATATTTATTGAATAAACATATTTACAAGAAAAAAAAAAGCGTGCGCGCGCTGTATCATAAAGTCTGTCATTGAGTCGACTGGCGTGGTTTCGAATCCCCGGCTGTACGTGGCAAGAAGTAGGGTCGCCTGTCCAAACTCGTGGGTTTTCTCTGGGTCCTCCGGTTTCCTCCCACTGCTAAAGACCCCTACGCGCAAGCGAATTATGTAAATAAAATTAAACCATATGTTAGTCCCGAAATGACCTAGTTTGTGTCGAGTGGACGTTAAACCCCATTTCTCTCTCGCTCTCTCTTATAAAATGCATCTTTAAGTAAATATTTTCATCTGAGCATATAATAGAACGCCTGTTAAATCTGAAAATTTAAGTTATTACCACGTTTTATTTACTTTATGACTTCTCAAATATTTCTCTTGTGAACGCGTTTTTATCCTATTTTTATAAAACTAAAAACATATGTTTATATCCCAATGATCCGTGCATATTGGACCGTATCTTTATTGATTATGGCCCCTGATTATACGAAAATCGCTTGCAAAATAGGGCGTATCTTGCATGACAACCGCTTGTTTAAATGGTTTTAAGATCTGTAGTTTACTGGGAAAATGATTAATATTATGTACAAATTGTAACACGGATTGAAGTATCTTTAAAATGGTTTTAAAATTTGGATTATATCCCAAATTTATTTTTTTTATTTTATGACAGGAGGCAGAGAATTTATATGAAATGTTTCATACACGTAAAACTCTACACAGTCGAGCTTATCAGCATGTTGTTACACAGGCTGTAGAAAGTATGTAAGTACAATTTTTACAAATAGATCAATTTTACTTAAGCTTGATACCAGTATTGCAAAATGTGAATTAATATAGGGTTCCCTAAAGGTTACCTGAAGAACTCCAGCAAATTCGAAAAAAAGATTTTTTTGAGGGAGGTAGCATTATTTTGGATTTTGGTAAGTTTACTCTGTTTATGACGACATCAAATGTTGGTGTATAAAGTCCTTAACAATGTAATCGTAGTAAAATGGTTGTATGTTTTGTTTTTGTCGACCATGTGATAAAAAACCCCACTCACCATCGTTCTTCAAACAAGCTGCTGTGGAAGCAAATTTACAGATCAACCTACAGTTAACCCTATTTCATTTCATTTCATTTCTATGGTGACAACAGTCTGTGTTTTTCTATTTAAACTGTTGTTATGGTGATAATGATCTGTTGTTATGGTGATAATGATCTGTTGTTATGGCGATAATAATCTGTTGTTATGGTGATAATGATCTGTTGTTATGGTGATAATGATCTGTTGTTATGGCGATAATGATCTGTTGTTTTGGTGATAATGATCTGTTGCTATGGTGATAATGATCTGTTGTTATGGTGATAATGATCTGTTGCTATGGTGATAATAATCTGTTGTTATGGTGATAATAATCTGTTGTTATGGTGATAATAATCTGTTGTTATGGTAATAATAATTTGTTGGGTTTTTTTCTATTTCAACTAGGATTGTAGATGCATTGATAATAGCTGATAAATGTGAAACCTTTCCATTTCTCGATACAAATGAGTAAGTATATTTATATTTCTGTAAAGATAAATTGTATAAATTTGTCGGTGAAAATAAGTAAGTATATGCATTATGTAAGATTTAAATAGTTTATACTTGCTATGATAGTTTACAATTAGATAATGGTAAATGAATATATTGAAAATTTCATTCAAATTACTTCATTATGAACGAAGTTATGAATATTGATAGGAATAGCGTAGTCGTGGTTGTCATTGCTACGATAATAAACGAAGTCTCGATTAATGCGTTAACTGATTAAATGGTGTATGTGTTCTAATTCAATTAATATTACAGTCATCCAATGAACTAGAGAGTTATTCGAAGACCTAGTTGATGATGGGCTTGTCATTTAAATGGGGGGGGGGGTATCTAGTGACAAGGAGTAGATCGCCTGTTCAACCTCGCGGGATTTCCCCGCGTCCTCCGCTAGGCACAAACGGATCATTGAAATAAAATTGAACCATATGTAAGTCCTGAAATGGCATAGGTTTTGTCGAGTGGACGTTCAATCAGGGGCCATAATCCAACACGTTACAGTCCGATACACGCGAATATTGACAGGAACCGAGATCTTTGGATTGGTTTAAAACAGTATTTATTTCGAGAAAAATATACAATATAAAAGCATAAAGAATGGGATACAGAAACAAGCCAAGTAGGCTTATATTAATTTGCTTCCACAAGTTAAAAATGTGATTTTCCGTACAATCAGTTGCCATAATCCAGGAAGTCAAGTTTTGATACATGCCAAAATCTCTCTCTCTCTATCTCTCTCTTTCGCTCTCTCTCTCTCTCCATTCTATTAAAATTATTCATTAAAAGAAGGATGCACATTCTTCATGGTCTAAAATTTTTTTCAGTCCACCACGACAATTGCATGAATGTATAGACGATATAAAGGCGTATAAGAAACTGGATGATACAATCTTTCAGCGAATAATGTGGTCGACAGAACCAGAGTTACAAGGTGCCAGAGATCTGATTGATAGAATCCAGAAACGTCAGTTATACAAATGTGTTGGCGCGGCGCAGCGTCCCGAACATCTAGATAAGGTGAAACGTTTAAAAGAACTGTTGTATCAGATTACTAGAGGCTACACATCATTCAAATCAATATTATAATGTTTTGTTTACTTTTGTAGATTTCTCCTTGATTTAATAATAGTAAACAACCACAAAACAACAACAATCAAGTTCTGTTATGCCATACAAAAATGGATATGACTTCTCATAAACACCACGTTTTAATGCACTACATTTATCTTATTATATTTAATGTGGACGTATATTGTCCGGCCGTTAACATTTTATTTGTGGACAGACTACAGGCCATTTTGATGAAACTTTTCTTCGATATTAGAATGTATAGGACTGGAACGTCATGAAATATGTCCACCGATTCTACGACAAATCACGTTTTTAACTTGAGGTCCGTCTAGAGGTCAGAATTTTTGATGAAACTTGAAACTATAGGTTTATATTTCAAAAACATGGTTCCTTTCGATTTTGCCATGATGGATTATGGCCCATGGTTGTACGAAAAATCATGCCTTAAGGTCAGGGAGATTAGATAAAGAGCTGGCAGTTCTCTTTATAATAGTTAAAAAACAGATAATTTGCTGAAAATTTCAGTCAAATTTATCCACTCGGAACCAAGATTTTAGCGATTGAATATTGGAGCTAGCCTCGGTCATCATTACTGAAGTCTGTCAGATAAAAAACATAGTCTCGATTATCCATTTTTTATTTAATTATGAATGGAAGTCGAACAGCAAATCGGAACCTAATCCAATAAACATCACAGGCTAGCGATGCCATCGAGAGCTGATTATGGTGTAGATAAGTTAATTAATGTCTAATTAATAATTTAGATAACATTTCACGCCTAAAAAAAGATCTGCAATAGACAGATTTAGCTCTTGCATAATGTATGTTTAAAGGAGCTAAGTCGCTAATATTTGGGACCTAGATATTAACACAAATGGGTCACAACGCATATAATAATGTAATATGAATGTATATAAACTAATTTACATTCAATCGTTACCGTTTTTACTCTAATTTCAAATCAGTTATATGCGGCGAAATACACCAGAAGTCTCAACCGAACGGCAGTCTCTAGCGTCTAGTTATTGCAGTCTACACCGATAATATTTATTGGGCATGCTCTCCAGATAAGAATATGACGTCATCGTTTGACATGACTTGTGGAATATCTCTAGTCTCGTTCTTCGAGCCCCTTGTTACAAATGGCACCGAAACGCATTATGGTACACGATTCGCGTACCAATGCTAAACTGTTTATTTTGTCTTAAATATTGGATATCAGAAGCCCATCATTTCCCGGTAAGATCAAAACACCAATGTTGATTTAAATTGACAAAAAAATCGTCTTTTCAGTGTCGAAGATTTTGGATGATATTGAGTTAGATACTTTTAGTGGGGCAAGACTGAGAAACAGAAAATTGGTTTATTTGGCCTTAGTTTTAATTCACATCGAATAATAATCTCTACGAAATCAGTTTAAATAACCTTGATAAACAAAACTATTCTAATATTTGTTTGATCATTACAACTAACAATTTTATTTGACAGGAAAAGGAGAAGGAAGTGCCAAAAGAAATCGCTAAATTCGCTAAATTAGAACCTGAATGTCTCAAATTGTCGGTTAGTTTATTTATAGTTTTATCAATTTAATTATGTGTTGAAATATTTTTAAAAGTTATTCCTGAAGATGCTGTGCGTGCCCATATCACAGTACTAGCCATTTATCTTTATTTCAAATTAATAGCTTTGTAATAATGTCATTCGAATACTTACTGTCTGAACCGTGGTAAATTTGAAACGGATTTCTTCGATTGTGAACAAACTACTAAATAATTGTTATTAAAAACTTGCCTATGTGTTTGAAATCACCCCCGGTTGAATAACATCCAATGTACAATTCAATATCCCAACGGCAAAAGAAGTTCTCTCTTGAAAAGTGAATGTTTTTGCTTGTATTTTCGGCTGTGTTCATTACAACATTATACATGTCACGTGATGAGCTAAGCATTCTTAATATGTTGAAGGGGGCAATGGTTGACAAATTTTGACAATCACGTGTGTTGCAATCACAACAACGCGCGACCTTTCCGATCGTTTGAGTTTGGGCAACAAAATAGCAACTGAAGACAATAACATTAATTTGGAAACAATTGATTGCCAGTGTACTAAATTTTATTCACAATGAATTTGTCACCGATTACACGAATATTCGTAAATATAGTATTGCTTTTCACATCATCATCACTCCAGATTTGTAAATACCCTGTATATTATATATATTTTAATAATTTATATTAGGCCCTACACCCCTGTCAATTGTAGTCAACTTTGTGGCTAACATTTACAGTTCGGGATGTCTAAACATCGTTTATCGTCTTTATTAAAATGTATTTAAAACATAAAATAACTCTTCAAAAGAGAAACACAATAACGGACTACGGGCGTGTTTATGTTTGTAAACGCTCAAACTCATTACTGGGTTCGAGAGCAATAGCTTATTCATAGTGTGTTCATAATCGAAGAAATCCGTTTAAAACTTACGACGGTTCAGAAAGTAAGTATTCATTTGAGGCGCTTTCCAGACATTCTGGCATGATGTGAAGTGACTTGCTGTTTTGAATCTCCCTCGAATGGGAGGGTGGATGGCCGAATGGTAAACACGTACGTGCTGTATCATACGGCCTGTCATTGAGTCAACTGGCGGGGTTTCGAATCCCCGGTTGTACGTGACAATAAGTAGGGTCGCCTGTCCAACCTCGTGGGTTTTCTCCGGGTCCTCCCACTGCTAAAGACCCCTACGCGCAAGCGAATTATAGAAATAAAAAAAATTGAACTATGTGTAAGTCACGAAATGCTGATGGAATGCTGTAAGAATCTATAGAATACAGTCAGGGTGCATTTAGAATAAAATTCGAATGTCGTTCGATATTTTTATCCTTCGAATGCATCTCGAATATGGCGATCATGCGCAAAACAAGCAGTCAGAATATTTACAATACACTTCGAATATCAAGGAATATACAAAGACTTTTCATTCCGACGGCATTCCGCCTCTGGTGTACAAAGTTGATAATGAGTAAGAAATATTACATAAACCGTTATGACCAAAATGTGTGGCCGGTATGACCAAATTGTACAAAGAATAAGAATGTGACAACCTGTGTGACCTCTCTGACGACTTAGCTGTATTACCTGACAACCAATCATACTGATACAATTTAAATATATCGTTCATTATTTCAGCGTGTTCATTATGACTATGGTATGAAAAGTCAAGATCCAGTTAGCCATACCCGATTTTACTCGAAAGACAAACCTAATGTATGTTTAGAACTCTGCCCAGAACAGGTGGGATTTTACGATTGTTTACAATTTAATGTTGATTTATTTTCTGTGTATATATTATATAACTTTTGTATAAGGGGCTAAAATGTCATTTTGCATCAGGGGCGAGACGTGTCTACACCAGGGCTATAAGCAGGCCTGTAGCCAGGGGGATGGGGGGCAATGCAACCCTGAAAAAATGTTTTGCCCCCCCCCATCCCCCCGGAAAAAAAGTTGTCGACCATAGCTCTAAAATACCTACTGTAGACTGTGCCCCCCTAAAACCTTCACAACCTATGGAGTTGTATTCGGGTCCACGTTATGAATGAATGAATGAATGAATGAATGAAATGTGTTTTTATGGCACGTCAGCTCCAATTCGGCTATATTGCGCCAAACATATGGTGAATATTACGAGACAGGCTATATTATTATCACAGAAAAACATTATATACATAAATAAAAACAATATCACAGTTAGTAAAATTAAAAATAAAATACAACTTTGATGCATATAAATATTTAATCCCAAAATGAAATGATATTTATATATACAATTTAAATTTATGATAAAATCCTGTCTCTTTTAAAAAGCCTAATACTTTACCATATAAACCCGGTTGGGCAAACATGTGATGTAATGACTGACAACGGTAAAAATTCGATCTAATATCCTTGAAATGCGTGCACTCAATCAAAATGTGCTTAACTGTCAAGGGAACATGAATCTGGTTGAGGTTCTCGATTTAAAATGAAAATATGAGTTAAAAAAGACCAATGCGAGAAAGTGCATTATGAAAATAAAAATTGCACCATATGTTAGTCCCAAAACGAACCGGTTTGTTTCGAGAGGACATTAAACCCCATTTCTTTCTCATCAAATTTGTCAAAGTGGATTCAATAGAAGTCACGATGACACACTAACCAGGAGGTCCCAGACTCGATCCTGGTGTTCACTGAAAACGTTAATTGAGATTTTCAGTGTAGTTTCCCCTTGTTATTGGTGGCGGACAGGGGTGACTGGCAAGGACAGTGTCGAATTGCTTGGATGCAACGAACAACCGAGGTCCAGTCTAAACATTGGCGTGCACATAAAAGAACCCTGAAATTTGGCATTCGATAAAGAGTAATCGGAAACGCTTTCCCGTCAAAAGTCAAAACCTAGTAACTCACTTTAGGACCAAATTTGTAGTTACTAGGGTATGTGCTCCCTGTTGTTGTACTAGATATTCCAATCTTTTGATTTTGTAAGCAGTTAAACCCATGACACAACCTAGCAACTTCCTTCATTTGCCTAGTATGCCACAGAAAAACTTAGTAACTCAATAGTCAAATCAATGGATAAGCTGGGGTTTAATATTCATTCATTACGTTTTCCTTTGTTTTCTCAAAATAAGAAAAATGTCAGTTACTAGGTGTTTCCTTTTGACGGGAGCGCTGCTGTCCAACAAATATTCACTTCCAGCACACCACATGCCGTATTTGGGTCTTCATTTGCCCACTTGGCGCAAACGAGTAGATCTTGAAACCCCATTTTATTTTTTATTTTTTTCATTTCTTTCCAGGGCCCCCAGATGCTTCCAAAGCATTTTCAAGTAGATATGATTCGTATCTTCTGCACGGATAGTAGACCAAAAATCATAGAGGCGGCCAAATCAGCTTTTGAACAATGGTGTGATGACAAAGGCGTGAAGCCTGAGGTAGTTGTTTATTGTATTGTATTGATGTTGCTATCTGGGCAAAATTCTCTGGATGGACGAATCATTAAATCAAATCTGCAAGATTCGGATAAACTCAGTTTCACAGAATTTACACGAAGAAAAACGATCCTTTATTCTGGAATTGTTTGTATGTGAGTAAACCGCGTTGGTCCAATGAGTAAGGCACAGACTCACTAAATAGAATGTTCCCGGGGTTCTATCCCGGTGTTAGGCAAGAAACTTTCTCCGGAAGGTGCGGCCTTGCTTTCAATTTGTTTGTGGTACAAGAAGATATAATCTGTATTTTGTGTAACAAATTAAAATTTACTTTATTTTTCAGGGTATCAGAGGGGGATTCAGATTCCAGGAAGTTACCCAAAAGGTATTCATAAAAATAAATTTTTCACATCTTATAAAAACAAAATGTTCACATAACAATTTGCACATTGTATAATAACAACTTTTACATTGTATAATAATTTTTACATTGTATAATAACAATTTTCACATTGTATAATAACAATTTTCACATTGTATAATAACAATGTTCACATTGTATAATACCAAAAAGGTATTATCATATCAATTTAAAATGTTTTAGATTATTTTATAATAACAAATTTTTCACATCTTATAAAAACAAAATGTTCACATAACAACATGTTCACATTGTATAGTAACAATGTTCACATTGTATAGTAACAATGTTCACATTGTATAAAAACAATGTTCACATTGTATGAAAACAATGTTCACATGGTATGAAAACAATGTTCACATTGTATAATAATAATTTTCGCCTTGTATAATAACAAATTTACTTTTTAATATCAAATTTGATGATCATGTTAGAATAATAATTTTCTTCTTCATAGCAAATTTTTACAATTTTCCATAAAAACAATTTTTCGCATCATTTTGTAATAGCAAAAATTATTAGCTACTTGTGTGTGATCTACACAAGTTAATAAGAAGCGGAATCGGGTGTTCTGGAGAGGGTACAAGAACCAAGACTCCTGTATGTAAATTCACCTTAATGAAAAATGAAATCAGATTGAACTTCCTTTTCTGTGCCAATCGGTCTAAAGAAGACCCCTGTATATAAATGCTCCTAAATGAAAAGATAGTTTGCAGGCAGTGAAACATAGGCACACGACAGTCAAATCGTCCGCATGGTCGACACCGGTTGTCGCATATTTATTCTTGTGTAGGTAAGACAATTTCGTACAGATCACTTTGGGCGTTCACAATGTCTGCAACCCGAAAAAAGGGCCTCATCTCTGGAAATAATTTACAGAAATTATTGAAATTCAACAGATCACATGATAACCCTTGTCATTAGTGACACACGGGCCATAACTCTAGAACAAATTAACTGATATTGCTGAAATTGAATTGATGCATATAAATTTCATTCAGATTGGTTAAAAAAAACTTTTGTCGTTAGAGCGTTTACAAGGTGCAACACAGTGAAACAAGAGCGATAACTCAAGAAGAAATTAACGGAAATTATTGAAATTAAATAAGCTTCTTCATCTCACTTGTGTAAACAACATATATAACAATATTCAAAACAATCAGATGATAAATGTAGAATGTTCACAAGGAATTGTGGACGACGGACGTACTTACGTACGTGCAGACGGACGGGGCCACGACAATAAAATGGGGCTTAACGTTCTACCTTTCTGTGCCAGTCGGTCTAATGAAGACAGACATTTGCCTAGTTCCTTTAGGAACTGTCCCTGAGCGGACGATGTCCACTGACAGTTCCTATCGAGCCTTATATACATAGGCGTACGATCTGGGGGGCTGGGGGGGGGGGGCCGCCGCCCCCCCCCCCCCCCATTTTGGGCACCAAATGCTGGGAAAATTTGGGCACACAATTGTACTTTGTAAAAGTTGTATAAAAAAAGATATTGTGTTCTTGAATGTGTCCAATTTAATAGCGAATTTATTATTATTATGTAACATACTAAGAACCTAACTACATTTTTTGGGCACCAACCACCACCGCCCCCAGTCAAAAATTTCCCCGTACGCCTATGCTTATATAGCTGCAATATGAAAATACCGCTCTTCCCCTCCTCTGTTCTAAGGCTATTTTGGAATCCTTACCTACTATTTTTCACCTTTATTCTAATTTATTCGCCAAAGGAATCATTTCTTGCCACAGCCGACACACATTTATAATGATTCAACACTATTTTCAAGTAGAATTCTGCGATTAAAAACATACACAAAATACGTTTGATCTGACGGCCGATCTGACGGCCATTACGAGACCCGGACATGCGCAAACCGCATGTTTATTTCATCGCTAAATTCTACTTGAAAATTGTGTTGAATAATTAAAAATTTGTGTCAAATATATTGATAAATGATTCCTTTTGGTGGAAAATAAAGAATCACGGTGAAAAATAGAAGGTTAGTGTTCTAAAACAGCCTGAGAACACAGGTGGGGAAAAGCGGTATTTTACCGTATTTTCATATTGCAGCTATATAAGGCTCGACAGGAACTGTCAGTGGACATCGTCCGCTCAGAGACAGTTCCTAAAGGAACTAGCATTTGCCATGCAGTGTGCTATGAGGGTAATTGTGCCTTGGCAGTGGAGTTTTCGCCTACTCCTCATCATATTTCAACACTTCATTGAATGTCAACTGTCCAGGGTTCTTTTATATGCTCGTCAATTATCCCTAAATGACTAGACATTGCTCCATGTTAGACCCTGTGTCCTGTACCTCTAGCAAAGGAAACCTAACAAGGATCCATAATATATCATATATCAATTTATTTTACAATAATAGATGAACATTTTCTTGTTTTTGGTTTAGACCCTCACAGAGAGATCCAGCACAGAATAAAGATGACAGATTTAAAGAAAAAGATGATATGGACTTGAGACATTTTTGTGTGTGTGTTTTTTTAATTTATTTCTTTTAAATTATTTGCTTGAGAGTTTAAAATCTATTTATTGTTTTACAGTTTTAGTATTTATTTTGTGTGATGTGTGTTTTTTTTTAATCATATCTTGTATTTTTTAATTTATTTCTTTTAAGTTATTTGCTTGAGAGTTTAAAATCTATTTATTGTATCACAGTTTTAGTATATATTTATTGAATTACAGTTTTAAAATCTATTTATTGTATCAGAGTGTTAGTATCTATTTATTGTATCACAGTGTTAGTATCTATTTATTGTATCACAGTTTTAGTATTTATTTATTGTATCACAGTTTTAGTATATATTTATTATATTACAGTTTAATAAGTAAGTTTACCCTCAAAGTTCATTCGCTAAAATCTCGGTTCAGAGTAGATCAATTTGACTAAAATTTTCAGCAAATTGCCTTTACATTATCTAGTTTTTAACTATTATAATGTGAACTGCCAGCGCTTCCATAATGTATACATTAATGGCAAGGAACACATTAAGGGGGCACATCTGTGGACAATTTACAACTGTACAAGACTGCACGGTACACAATTATCAAGAATGAATGATCTATAGTGTCAGTAGTGTGGACAATTCATTTGCTCATGATAGATGAGAATATGAAATGAAATGAAATGGGGTTTAACGTCCTAGTGTTTTGCTCCGACTGGGCTAATGAAGACGGTGTGATAGTTAATAACAGGGATGCTATTTCAAAATTTTGCACGTCGGACATTTTTGGTTGGAGTTAACCGAGCCCAGAATTACATCACCAGAATTCGTCGTCCGCTTCAGGAAATAAGATCAATAGGCTCCCATTCACTTTAGTGGAATTCAAATAGACATAATCATTTATTATGTTGTGTAGCAATTAGGGTTCTGAATAATGTTGATGAATAGTTCACAATATTATGTGGTTCTCTCTATTTTTCATATTTAATTTCCGTGCCGGCTTCAGTACCTGCCTTCGTTTGTACAATAGAAAACGAAATCGAAATGTTCGTGATAAGAATAGTTCATGATATCTAAACATATTTTTTTTATTTATAAAATGGTATTTATAAATTAATTACCCATATAAAGGCATAGCCCACTTCCGATTATTATGTCAATTGTTGGCCTACGTCACCATTTACACATATTTTCTTAGTAAGCAATACCTTATATGGTAAGCGATGATTTCTGTGCGACACATTTATGGCAAGGTTTGGCGGAATTTGTCTCGAATTATTCACCATAAGAGTTCCACATGATATTGAACTTATAAAAATAAATGCATTCGACACGATTTTCGACTTAGAATAATTTTGATAGAGTGTTTTGGTCTGTGGTTCCTATTTATTTAAAAAGTTTCTTCTCAGACCCCCTATATGCCTGTGTGGTATCACATTACACAAGATTTTCTCAGAATGTTTTAGGTACGTGGTGTTTTTACCGAAAATAAGTTAAAGGTGTTTATTAATAGCTATTAAAATACAGATGTGACGTCACCCTTTGATGTTGGCGTACCATTATTTCAAATAATCGTACGGGCAACTTGCCAATAGTACTTTATTCAAACCAGTGAGATATTGGACTAATGTGACGTAAAAGCTCGTGCTGAGTGTCAGTATTTTAAGATGTTTAATGGTCTCGAGCTTACGACATTGCGTAATATATTGTAAAAACATTCGGGCCTACGGCCCTCATGTTGTTACAATATATTACTTAATGTCTCGCTCTCGACCATTAAACAATACTTAAAATACAGATGTGACGTCATCCTTTGATGTTAGCGTATCATTATTTCAAATAATGGTACGGCAATGTGCCAAGCGTACATTCTTTAAACTAGGTAAAATTTTTGACCCGTGTGACGTATTTCAGTGCAAAGTCCATGCGAGTGTCTGTATTTTAAGTCGTTTAATGGTCTCGAGCTTAAGACATTGCGTAATATATTGAAACAACAACTCGTGACTACGTCACTCGCGTTGTTTCGAACGGAATATTTTGACAATAAGACAGAAATAGTATGTTTCTCATCAAGGTTTTAAGAACGTCGGCATTTATCCATCAAATTGTACTGTTCGGATCGGTGATGTGCTTGGTACTCCATTTAACTGTCGGGAACCACTGTGTAATGATGGATTCCACTCGAACAATGGGCACCCATATCACCAGCTTATGTAAGGCAACGTCGCACAAGCCTGATATTTCTCAGATGACAGAAATATTAGTTGCTTGTTGAAGTTTGATTGTATAATCTTTTAATAATAATTGTCAATAAATCTATTAATAATAGGGGGATTGCATGGCTGAATGGTTAGCATGTGCGCGTTGTATCATAAAGTCTGTCATTGAGTCAACTGGCGTGGTTTTGAATCCACGGTTGTACGTGACAAGGAGTATGATCGCCTGTCCAATCTCGTGGGTTTTCTCCGGGTCCCCCGGTTTCCTCCCACTGCTAAAAACCCCTGCGCGCAAGCGAATTATTGAAATAAAATTGAACCATATGTTAGTCCCGAAATGACCTTGTTTGTGTCGAGTGGACGTTAAACCCCCCTCTCTCTCTCTTTCTCTCTCTCTTCTCTCTCTCTCTCTCTCTTTTGATAATATTGTCTCTAAATCTTTTAATATTCTGTATCCTGGAATTCACGTTTTCTTGAATGTTTTATAAATTTGTGTTTGTTCTATTTCATGATAAATAAAATAGCCTTCTCATGCTTTAATTGTATTTGTTTTCTTTCGTTAAGACCAGTATGGAAAGAAAATTGGTTCAGCGTCGGTCAAGACATTGCAGATCTGTGTCAAATCTGGACATAAGCGTCCCAAACTTGGTAAGACACAAATTGTCACACAACATATATATTCTAATATAACCGTTGTGCGATAATTTTTGTCCGGCAAAGTCTGTGACAGTTGCTTAATGGTAATGACCAGACCTGTATATATACGTTGTGTGATCATTTGTACCGGGCAAAGTCTGTGACCGGTGCCTAATGGCCAAGTTTGTTCTGGGAGGAATACACCGGGTATATCCGTTTAGGGTTTTCTTGTACATTGATTAGGCAAATGTCAGCCATCTTGGATTTTACCAGATTTTAACACTTTAAGGGACCAGTTATCAACACAGAATATATCTTCAAATGAAAGAATGACCCAAGAAAAATTAAATTACATATATTAAAGATATATTATGGGAGATTTTAATAGAGAGTTGGCCGTTCTTGCTATAACTGTTCAACTCTCTCTTCACCGTCTCCGACAATGGCCAATCGTTTGATTGACAGGCGCACTCGGCAAACCTCGGCAGATTCCGGTATCCTACATCTAGCCTCGGCTGTGTGACAGTAAGTGATTTGTACCTACGCCTATACATTTGCGATGCGGCACCGGTTTACTTATAAGCGAAACTTGCCCGCGTTTAGAAAGAAGTTCTCAAAATTGCGTCGTTCGAAGAGTGTGTAGAATTTTCAGTGCAAATTTGTCCTTGTCTAAAGAAAATCGGTGAAAACCTGAAAAAAAAACAGCTTCAAACTTTGAAAATTTTGTAATTCCTCAATGACGTCATTGGTCGTTATGGACAACGCCATTGTAATCCGGGAACTTGAAAGTAGTTCTAATGGCGGACTGTCTTATACAGCCGAGATTAGATGTAGGGTACTGGAATCTGTTGAGGTTTGCCGAGTGTGACAGGCGTTAACTCCACCTACATAATCTCGATTATCAAGTAACGTTTCCAATGGCTGTGGTACCGTTAGCCCAGCCGGTTTGAGACGGGGTTGCAATTCTTTATTTTTACTACGACTTTTAATATATAGATAAGAAGTGAAAGTTTGAAAGGAATGGACCAAATCAATGAGGCATAATTATAGCCGACTTCTTGTTAGCCTGCGTGTACTCTTGTATTGTAACTGGTGGTAGGCCTACGTAACTCCCGAAGCAGACAAATAGGAAAAAGTGATCCAATGGGGCTGCAATTCAACTGGGGTGATGTTAGCTGCGATATTTATCAATTTCCATAATTCTTCTGTAAACGCAAGCAACAAAAGGGCGTAGGCTATAATACCGACATCCAAACTCTCATTTTAACCACAACTAAACATAAAATCAAATTGACTGACATGCGGCCTCGCCCAATGGCGGCCTCGCTTCGTACACGCTTATCATTTAGCTTCGACCAAAAGTTTCTGGGAGTATGGCGTCAACGTAACGGTTAATCACCGCTTACGACGCCATTTAAAAATTTAATCAATCAATGAAATCCTGTTTAAATCCAAGCCGAATCTAAGCCATCCGTGGGTCTACAGAGTTGATTCTAGAAATAGTCCATACATTCCCTTGTTTTTTTTATTCATTCTATACTTTATAAAAACATTGTAATGCACAAACTTTTTCTATTTTTTCTTTTTCTCTTATCTAGTGACAGTCAATTATTTTTGTGAATTGTCAGATATCCTCCCACAGTCTCATATAACAACCTTTGGTCTTCCATTACTTCCAAGGAATTATATAAGTGAGCAGAAATTCACCCGTGTATCTGTTATCACTTGTCACTTCAGTCATTTATATGCATGTATCCTAGCAATGATCTCTGTATTAAAATAATATCTGAAAGTGTTTAACCAGTTCTATCACATATATGATAATAACTGACACCAATATTGTCCTTTAGTAAGACTTGATATGCAAGACTACACAAGACAGCCTATTATATTAATAAGACTTGATATTCAAGACTTAACAAGACCACATGTCGTATACATCAATAAGACTTGATATGCAAGACTACATGTCCTAAATATTATATTAATAAGACTTGATACGCGAGACTACAAGTGATATTAAACCATTTTCTGACACTACACAAAGACTACATGTTCTTAATATTATATCTGTAAGCATTATGCGACACTACACCAGGCAACATGTCCTAAATATGATATTAATAAGACTTGAAATGCGAGACTACATGTCCTAAATATTATATTAATAAAGACCTGATATGTGAAACTCTATAAGTAACCTATATTCTGGCATGTTGGGACTTCAAGCACAAGTATGTGAATTCTACATAAACCAGGAATCAAACACCCCATCTTAAAATTATGACATCAAAGTGTGTCAACTGATGTTGAATTGTATGAAGAACGTCCATGCCAGGTGGTTACACGTTGATTGCACTCAAATTAGAGAAGCTTTTGGCTTTCTTTGAAGACCGTCTCCCCAACAACAAGATTACGAAATTCTGGGTTCAAATATTGTAATAAATACATTTAAAAGAAGTTGAAAATTTCACAGGTTAACAATTCTCAACATTACAACAAATTTAACATTCCTAAGAATAAAAAAATACTTTTCAACCTGTGAATATCAATAGTAATAATAATTTAAATAATAATATATTTTACACCTATTCTGTACAACGAATATACACCACTCAGACAAAATGTAAAAGGATGGCTTTCAATTTTTCAGAGCCTGGGACAATAACAACTATAAAACGAAGAAAATACGGCTACCTAAAGATTTCAATAAGATTTAAAAAACTAACTGAATAAATAAAAACATCTAACCGGTAGAGTGTTAACAATGTTACAAAGTTTACGAGAAAGGGGCAATAACTCAATGCATCTATCACAGATGCTGCCCAGTACAAATTATCAAATAACACAAAGTTTACAAGACAGGAGCAATAACTCCATGTAAAATGCCAAACATAAATTCGAAAGAGTCCCCATTATGGAAAGCTCTCATTTTGAACCATAAAACGCAATATTCACACTATAACAAGTCTTGACACAAGGCACATGTCACAGTGAGATTCTGTCCAGTACAAACAAGCCGTTAAAAATTTCTCGCCACACTTAGGAAGATCTCGCGGCACATCTGTGCTGCGGTACACAAGTTGAGAATCACTGATTATTGTGCAGATTACCCTCACCATTAAATGTGTTTTACCCATTGACATTAAAAGTGAGTCCCCTTGCCAGTGTATGTGCCCTCTTGCCATTAAATGGACCCTCTTGCCATTAATTGTGCCCTCTTGCCATTAAATGTGCCCTCTTGCCATTAAATGTGCCCTCTTGCCATAAATTGTGGGTCCCCTTGCCATTAAATGTGTACTCCACCCTTTATTAGCATCTAGGGAAAACCCAGTAAAAGCAAATACATGAACAGAAACAATAAATAGATATTAAAACTCTAAAACAATTCAATTAAAAGATGTTCACCTGGATCATTAAAGCAAATACATTAACAGAGACAACAGATATTAAAACTCTAAAACAATTCAATTAAAGAATATTCACTTGGTTTTTTTTAAAGAAAATACTGCATACACCTTGAAGATACTCAACATCAGACTTTGAGATAAATCAACAGAATACTGATAAGATTGTCCTGAAATCAACAAATAATTCACAATGTCCTCAATAAATAAAATATCTAATCCCTTATTTGTATAAAATTACACATTTTTAAAAGCTTGTGCGATTTGAGTTCCCTTACCTCTATAGTTAGTTAGTTTACCTCTATATAGAGAGATAAAATAACCTCACTTTATGGACTGATGAAAATCCCTTTTTTATAGATGACTAAAATAACCTCTTTACTGAAGGTTAAATAACCCCTGTATAGACGGTTAAATAACCTCTTTATTGACAGTTAAATAAACCTCTTTATAGACAGTTAAATAAACCTCTTTATAGATGGTTAAATAACCTCTTTATAAATGGTTAAATAAACCTCTTTATAAACAATTTAATGAACCTCTTTTTGACAGATTATTAACCTCTTTATAGATGGTTCAAATAATCTCTTTAGAAGTAGTTAAAATAACCCCTTTATATATAGTTAAAATAACTTTTATAGTTAAAACAATTTCTTTATAGATTAAAAATAGATTAAAATAAATATAAATAGTTAAATGAACCTCTTTATAGACAGTTAATCTCTTTAAAAGTAGTTAAAATAACCCCTTTATAGATAGTTAAAATAATATTTATAGTTAAAACAATTTCTTTATAGATTAAAATAAGTTCTTTATAGATGATTAAAATTGCCTTGGTACAGAAAGTTACATAATCTTTTAATAGACAGTAAAATATGGTTAAAATAACCTTTTTATAGATGGTCACAATAACTTCTTTATAGTAATTGTCATATAGATGGTTAAAATAATCTCTTTTAAGACAGTTATGTAACCTCAGTATAGATGGTTAAAATAGCCTCTTTATAATAACCTCCTTATAGATTATACAGGTCACAATTCTATGGAATACAATTAATACTTATTATTGAGCGATGTTTCGACCCGACTTCATTATCATGCTTAAAATAACCTCTTTATAAATGGTTAAAATAACCTCTTTATAAATGGTTAGAATAACCTCTTTATAAATGGTTAGAATAACCTCTTGTATAGATTGTTAGATATAAATTCTTGATAAGATGATTAAAAAAAAACTTGGTATACACAGTTACATAACCTCTTTCATAGATGCCTAAAATAACCTCTTTCATAGATGTAAAAAAAACTTTTTACAGATAAAATAACCTCTTCTATAGATGGTTAAAATAACCTCTTCTTGTAGATGGTTAAAATAACCTTTTCTTGTAGATGGTTAAAATAATCTCTTCTTGTAGATGGTTAAAATAACCTCTTCTTGTAGATTGTTAAAATAATCTCTTCTTGTAGATGGTTAAAATAATCGCTTTAATCTGTTATCTTTATTCCGTTCTGGGTTTCTAGAAAGAAAAACAAGAAACCTTTCATCAATTATTCTAAAATAAATTTATACATCGTCGGTGTAGTTGCAAAAGGTCATATCTCCTTTTTTCCTAACAATACAGGAGAGACTAAAAACTAAGTAATTGTTTTTCTAAAAAAGATACAAGATTGATCTTTTACGGTTCGACGTTGTATCAACCAGGAAACAATCTCATACAGCCCATTTAAAGAAATCCACCGTCGTGTTTTTGTGTACCGAGTTACGACAATTTGACATGTAAAATTAGAAATTAATATAATTGTTGCTTCTTTCTGATGATCATAAAAAATTATTCAACTGGATTAGAAATATGATTATTAGATAAAAAGATGTACCATTCGATGGGGAAATCAGAAATGCAAAAAAATCATTTTTCATCAAAAAACCAAGATACGGCCTTTTGCAACTTCACAGACGATATGATATATTGTGGGTCGGTGAAGGTCCTTGTCAGGTTTTCCTTTGTCAAAGGTGCAGGACAGAGGTTCTGACATGGAACAAAGTCTAGTTATTCAGGGATAATTGGTATACATTATTACAAACATGTTATAGCCCCTCTTTCACATACACGTGTTCAGAGGTGCTTTACAATAGTACAAATATAAAAAATTATAAAATCATGAAAATTAACAATAAAATACTAAAACAACACAAGAATCAGTATAAATTGCAAGATATATACATTTAAAAAGCTTGAAGAAATAAATGGGTTTTAAGTTTTTTCTTAAAAGTATTGACATTATTACAGGACCTGATATCATACGGTAACTTATTCCATAAAGCAGGTGCTTTAACACTAAAAGATCTTTGGCCAAAGGTTAACAGTTTTGAATATTTGGGCTTTAAAAGAAAATGATCATCCAAAGAGCGTAAACATCGCCCTGGTGTATACATATTTAAAAGATCAGATAAATAAACAGGTGCTAATTTGTTCAAACATTTAAAAGTTAACAATAAAATTTTAAAATCAATTCTATAAGAAATAGGTAACCAGTGTAAATTTTTTAAATTGGGGTAATATGATCATATTTTTTAATGCGTGTAATAAGGCGTGCAGCTGTATTTTGGACTTGTTGAAGTTTATGCCACTTATGACAGTACATGCCACTGTCGGAGCAAAATTACCCTTCAATCTGATTAAACACAGATTCTATTTCAAAATTTCATTTTACTTGTCTTTAGTACACTAAGATCTGGAAGAGTTGTTAATATAATAGGCGGTTTTATTGATGCGAGGAATTGGCCAATGAAACGGTTTGTTACGGCGATTTCTTGGCGTTCTCTTCTCTGCGATGAACTGTGGGTAAACCCCAAGAAATGACAATGTTGATTGATTACTCAATGTCTGACGTCATACGGTCAAACGCCGCTTGTTTGACCCAGGACATGAACTTCCACTATAACTTGTCAGATCTTCATGTAGTGTAGGCCATCGAAAATATAAAAAAACTAAACGCAATATAGATCTGTATGTTAATCAGATTGAATTACCGTCATATAGGACTGCATGGCAGATGCCTGTCTTCATTAGCCCAATTCTTGCCACAGAAAAGTAAAACGTTAAACTCCATTTTATTTTTATTAACCTACATGGAAATGTGGTCGTATATTGCCTGTCTTCATCAGGCCAATTCTTGGCACAAAAATGTAGGACATACAGGGGTCTTGTACAATAAGGGGCCATAATCCGGGATGTTACAGTCTGATATGCATCAATATCAAAAGGAACAGAGATCTTTGGAAAACACACATATATTTTAACTTTAATCCAAATCAGATAAAATCATGATTTTTCGCACAATCACGGGCCATATTACATGAAGTTACGGCCAGATTTCGAATCTTTGGGTTATAAACATATGCTTTAGTTTCATAAAAATCTGGGACCATAATCGATGAAGTCACGGTCCGATATATGCCAGGTTTCGCCAAAATCGAATAATCAACCATGGTATTACACAGGCCTAGTACTAATGGTTTTAGACAAAATGAACATTTTGTTTTTGTAAGATGTGAAAAATTTGTTATTATAAAATAATCTAAAACATTTTAAATTGATATGATAATACCTTTTTGGTATTATACAATGTGAACATTGTTATTATACAATGTGAAAATGTTATTATATAATGTGAAAATTGTTATTATACAATGTAAAAATTATTATACAATGTAAAAGTTGTTATTATACAATGTGCAAATTGTTATGTGAACATTTTGTTTTTATAAGATGTGAAAAATTTATTTTTATGAATACCTTTTGGGTAACTTCCTGGAATCTGAATCCCCCTCTGATACCCTGAAAAATAAAGTAAATTTTAATTTGTTACACAAAATACAGATTATATCTTCTTGTATCACAAACAAATTGAAAGCAACCCCGGGAACATTCTATTTAGTGAGTCTGTGCCTTACTCATTGGACCAACGCGGTTTACTCACATACAAACAATTCCAGAATAAAGGATCGTTTTTCTTCGTGTAAATTCTGTGAAACTGAGTTTATCAGAATCTTGCAGATTTGATTTAATGATTCGTCCATCCAGAGAATTTTGCCCAGATAGCAACATCAATACAATACAATAAACAACTACCTCAGGCTTCACGCCTTTGTCATCACACCATTGTTCAAAAGCTGATTTGGCCGCCTCTATGATTTTTGGTGTACTATCCGTGCAGAAGATACGAATCATATCTACTTGAAAATGCTTTGGAAGCATCTGGGGGCCCTGGAAAGAAATGAAAAAAATAAAAAATAAAATGGGGTTTCAAGATCTACTCGTTTGCGCCAAGTGGGCAAATGAAGACCCAAATACGGCATGTGGTGTGCTGGAAGTGAATATTTGTTGGACAGCAGCGCTCCCGTCAAAAGGAAACACCTAGTAACTGACATTTTTCTTATTTTGAGAAAACAAAGGAAAACGTAATGAATGAATATTAAACCCCAGCTTATCCATTGATTTGACTATTGAGTTACTAAGTTTTTCTGTGGCATACTAGGCAAATGAAGGAAGTTGCTAGGTTGTGTCATGGGTTTAACTGCTTACAAAATCAAAAGATTGGAATATCTAGTACAACAACAGGGAGCACATACCCTAGTAACTACAAATTTGGTCCTAAAGTGAGTTACTAGGTTTTGACTTTTGACGGGAAAGCGTTTCCGATTACTCTTTATCGAATGCCAAATTTCAGGGTTCTTTTATGTGCACGCCAATGTTTAGACTGGACCTCGGTTGTTCGTTGCATCCAAGCAATTCGACACTGTCCTTGCCAGTCACCCCTGTCCGCCACCAATAACAAGGGGAAACTACACTGAAAATCTCAAGAAACGTTTTCAGTGAACACCAGGATCGAGTCTGGGACCTCCTGGTTAGTGTGTCATCGTGACTTCTATTGAATCCACTTTGACAAATTTGATGAGAAAGAAATGGGGTTTAATGTCCTCTCGAAACAAACCGGTTCGTTTTGGGACTAACATATGGTGCAATTTTTATTTTCATAATGCACTTTCTCGCATTGGTCTTTTTTAACTCATATTTTCATTTTAAATCGAGAACCTCAACCAGATTCATGTTCCCTTGACAGTTAAGCACATTTTGATTGAGTGCACGCATTTCAAGGATATTAGATCGAATTTTTACCGTTGTCAGTCATTACATCACATGTTTGCCCAACCGGGTTTATATGGTAAAGTATTAGGCTTTTTAAAAGAGACAGGATTTTATCATAAATTTAAATTGTATATATAAATATCATTTCATTTTGGGATTAAATATTTATATGCATTAAAGTTGTATTTTATTTTTAATTTTACTAACTGTGATATTGTTTTTATTTATGTATATAATGTTTTTCTGTGATATAATATAGCCTGTCTCGTAATATTCACCATATGTTTGGCGCAATACAGCCGAATTGGAGCTGACGTGCCATAAAAACACATTTCATTCATTCATTCATTCATTCATAACGTGGACCCGAATACAACTCCATAGATTGTGAAGGTTTTAGGGGGGCACAGTCTACAGTAGGTATTTTAGAGCTATGGTCGACAACTTTTTTCCGGGGGGATGGGGGGGGGCAAAACATTTTTTCAGGGTTGCATTGCCCCCCCCCCCCCACTGCCCCATCCCCCTGGCTACAGGCCTGCTTATAGCCCTGGTGTAGACACGTCTCGCCCCTGATGCAAAATGACATTTTAGCCCCTTATACAAAAGTTATATAATATATACACAGAAAATAAATCAACATTAAATTGTAAACAATCGTAAAATCCCACCTGTTCTGGGCAGAGTTCTAAACATACATTAGGTTTGTCTTTCGAGTAAAATCGGGTATGGCTAACTGGATCTTGACTTTTCATACCATAGTCATAATGAACACGCTGAAATAATGAACGATATATTTAAATTGTATCAGTATGATTGGTTGTCAGGTAATACAGCTAAGTCGTCAGAGAGGTCACACAGGTTGTCACATTCTTATTCTTTGTACAATTTGGTCATACCGGCCACACATTTTGATCATAACGGTTTATGTAATATTTCTTACTCATTATCAACTTTGTACACCAGAGGCGGAATGCCGTCGGAATGAAAAGTCTTTGTATATTCCTTGATATTCGAAGTGTATTGTAAATATTCTGACTGCTTGTTTTGCGCATGATCGCCATATTCGAGATGCATTCGAAGGATAAAAATATCGAACGACATTCGAATTTTATTCTAAATGCACCCTGACTGTATTCTATAGATTCTTACAGCATTCCATCAGCATTTCGTGACTTACACATAGTTCAATTTTTTTTATTTCTATAATTCGCTTGCGCGTAGGGGTCTTTAGCAGTGGGAGGACCCGGAGAAAACCCACGAGGTTGGACAGGCGACCCTACTTATTGTCACGTACAACCGGGGATTCGAAACCACGCCAGTTGACTCAATGACAGGCCGTTTGATACAGCACGTACGTGTTTACCATTCGGCCATCCACCCTCCCATTCGAGGGAGATTCAAAACAGCAAGTCACTTCACATCATGCCAGAATGTTTGGAAAGCGCCTCAAATGAATACTTACTTTCTGAACCGTCGTAAGTTTTAAACGGATTTCTTCGATTATGAACACACTATGAATAAGCTATTTCTCTCGAACCCAGTAATGAGTTTGAGCGTTTACAAACATAAACACGCCCGTAGTCCGTTATTGTGTTTCTCTTTTGAAGAGTTATTTTATGTTTTAAATACATTTTAATAAAGACGATAAACGATGTTTAGACATCCCGAACTGTAAATGTTAGCCACAAAGTTGACTATAATTGACAGGGGTGTAGGGCCTAATATAAATTATTAAAATATATATAATATACAGGGTATTTACAAATCTAGAGTGATGATGATGTGAAAAGCAATACTATATTTACGAATATTCGTGTAATCGGTGACATATTCATTGTGAATAAAATTTAGTACACTGGCAATCAATTGTTTCCAAATTAATGTTATTGTCTTCAGTTGCTATTTTGTTGCCCAAACTCAAACGATCGGAAAGGTCGCGCGTTGTTGTGATTGCAACACACGTGATTGTCAAAATTTGTCAACCATTGCCCCCTTCAACATATTAAGAATGCTTAGCTCATCACGTGACATGTACAATGTTGTAATGAACACAGCCGAAAATACAAGCAAAAACATTCACTTTTCAAGAGAGAACTTCTTTTGCCGTTGGGATATTGAATTGTACATTGGATGTTATTCAACCGGGGGTGATTTCAAACACATAGGCAAGTTTTTAATAACAATTATTTAGTAGTTTGTTCACAATCGAAGAAATCCGTTTCAAATTTACCACGGTTCAGACAGTAAGTATTCGAATGACATTATTACAAAGCTATTAATTTGAAATAAAGATAAATGGCTAGTACTGTGATATGGGCACGCACAGCATCTTCAGGAATAACTTTTAAAAATATTTCAACACATAATTAAATTGATAAAAGTATAAATAAACTAACCGACAATCTGAGACATTCGGGTTCTAATTTAGCGATTTCTTTTGGCACTTCCTTCTCCTTTTCCTGTCAAATAAAATTGTTAGTTGTAATGATCAAACAAATATTAGAATAGTTTTGTTTATCAAGGTTATTTAAACTGATTTCGTAGAGATTATTATTCGATGTGAATTAAAACTAAGGCCAAATAAACCAATTTTCTGTTTCTCAGTCTTGCCCCACTAAAAGTATCTAAGTCTCTAACTCAATATCATCCAAAATCTTCGACACTGAAAAGACGATTTTTTTGTCAATTTAAATCAACATTGATGTTTTGATCTTACCGGGAAATGATGGGCTTCTGATATCCAATATTTAAGACAAAATAAACAGTTTAGCATTGGTACGCGAATCGTGTACCATAATGCGTTTCGGTGCCATTTGTAACAAGGGGCTCGAAGAACGAGACTAGAGATATTCCACAAGTCATGTCAAACGGTGACGTCATATTCTTATCTGGAGAGCATGCCCAATAAATATTATCGGTGTAGACTGCAATAACTAGACGCTAGAGACTGCCGTTCGGTTGAGACTTCTGGTGTATTTCGCCGCATATAACTGATTTGAAATTAGAGTAAAAACGGTAACGATTGAATGTAAATTAGTTTATATACATTCATATTACATTATTATATGCGTTGTGACCCATTTGTGTTAATATCTAGGTCCCAAATATTAGCGACTTAGCACCCTGACTGTATTCTATAGATTCTTACAGCATTCCATCAGCATGCAAAACTTTCTTATGGCATTCGAGAGAGAGAGAGAAAGAGAGAGAGAGAGAGAGACACACACACACACACACACATGGTTCAAATTTGTTTTATGTCTATAAAAGGGGTCTTTAGGTCATTTCGGGACTAACATATGGTTTAATTTTATTTCAATAATTCGCTTTCGCGTAGTGGTCTTTAGCAGTGGGAGGAAACCGAGGACCCGGAGAAAACCCACGAGGTTCGACAGGCGACCCTACTTCTTGTCACGTACAACCGGGGATTCGAAACCACGCTAGTTGACTCAATGGTAGACCTTATGATACAGCACGCGCGTGTTTACCATTCGGCCACCCCCCCCCCACCCTCCCATTCGAGGGAGAATCAAAATAGCAAGTCACTTCACATCATGCCAGAATGTCTGGAAAGCGCCTCAAATGAATACTTACTTTCTGAACCGTCGCAAATTTTAAACGGATTTCTTCGATTATGAACACACTATGAATAAGCTATTGCTCTCGGACCCAGTAATGAGTTTGGGCGTTTACAAACATAAACACGCCCGTAGTCCGTTATTGTGTTTCTCTTTTGAAGAGTTATTTTATGTTTTAAATACATTTTAATAAAGACGATAAACGATGTTTAGACATCCCGAACTGTAAATGTTAGCCACAAAGTTGACTATAATTGACAGGGATGTAGGGCCTAATATAAATTATTAAAATATATATAATATACAGGGTATGTATAATTATGAAGTGATGATGATGTGAAAAGCAATACTATATTTACGAATATTCGTGTAATCGGTGACATATTCATTGTGAATAAAATTTAGTACACTGACAATCAATTGTTTCCAAATTAATGTAATTGTCTTCAGTTCCTATTTTTGTTGCCCAAACCCAAACGATCGGAAAGGTCCCGCGTTGTTGTGACTGCAACACACGTGACTGTCAAAATTTGTCAACCATTTACCCCTTCAACATATTAAGATGGCTTAGCTCATCACGTGACATGTACAATGTTGTAATGAACACAGCCGAAAATACAAGCATAAACATTCACTTTTCAAGAGAGAACTTCTTTTGCCGTTGGGATATTGAATTGTACAATGGATATTATTCAACCGGGGGTGATTTCAAACACATGGGCAAGTTTTTAATAACAATTATTTAGTAGTTTGTTCACAATCGAAGAAATCCGTTTCAAATTTACCACGGTTCAGACAGTAAGTATTCGAATGACATTATTACAAAGCTATTAATTTGAAATAAAGATAAATGGCTAGTACTGTGATATGGGCACGCACAGCATCTTCAGGAATAACTTTTAAAAATATTTCAACACATAATTAAATTGATAAAACTATAAATAAACTAACCGACAATCTGAGACATTCAGGTTCTAATTTAGCGAATTTAGCGATTTCTTTTAGCACTTCCTTCTCCTCTTCCTGTCAAATAAAATTGTTAGTTGTAATGATCAAACAAATATTAGAATAGTTTTGTTTATCAAGGTTATTTAAACTGATTTCGTAGAGATTATTATTCGATGTGAATTAAAACTAAGGCCAAATAAACCAATTTTCTGTTTCTCAGTCTTGCCCCACTAAAAGTATCTAAGTATCTAACTCAATATCATCCAAAATCTTCGACACTGAAAAGACAATTTTTTTGTCAATTTAAATCAACATTGATGTTTTGATCTTACCGGGAAATGATGGGCTTCTGATATCCAATATTTAAGACAAAATAAACAGTTTAGCATTGGTACGCGAATCGTGTACCATAATGCGTTTCGGTGCCATTTGTAACAAGGGGCTCGAAGAACGAGACTAGAGATATTCCACAAGTCATGTCAAACGGTGACGTCATATTCTTATCTGGAGAGCATGCCCAATAAATATTATCGGTGTAGACTGCAATAACTAGACGCTAGAGACTGCCATTCGGTTGAGACTTCTGGTGTATTTCGCCGCATATAACTGATTTGAAATTAGAGTAAAAACGGTAACGATTGAATGTAAATTAGTTTATATACATTCATATTACATTATTATATGCGTTGTGACCCATTTGTGTTAATATCTAGGTCCCAAATATTAGCGACTTAGCTCCTTTAAACATACATTATGCAAGAGCTAAATCTGTCTATTGCAGATCTTTTTTTAGGCGTGAAATGTTATCTAAATTATTAATTAGACATTAATTAACTTATCTACACCATAATCAGCTCTCGATGGCATCGCTAGCCTGTGATGTTTATTGGATTAGGTTCCGATTTGCTGTTCGACTTCCATTCATAATTAAATAAAAAATGGATAATCGAGACTATGTTTTTTATCGGACAGACTTCAGTAATGATGATCGAGGCTAGCTCCAATATTCAATCGCTAAAATCTCGGTTCCGAGTGGATAAATTTGACTGAAATTTTCAGCAAATTATCTGTTTTTTTAACTATTATAAAAAGAACTGCCAGCTCTTTATCTAATCTCCCTGACCTTAAGGCATGATTTTTCGTACAACCATGGGCCATAATCCATCATGGCAAAATCGAAAGGAACCATGTTTTTGAAATATAAACCTATAGTTTCAAGTTTCATCAAAAATTCCGACCTCTAGACGGACCTCAAGTTAAAAACGTGATTTGTCGTAGAATCGGTGGACATATTTCATGACGTTCCAGTCCTATACATTCTAATATCGAAGAAAAGTTTCATCAAAATGGCCTGTAGTCTGTCCACAAATAAAATGTTAACGGCCGGACAATATACGTCCACATGAAATATAATAAGATAAATGTAGAGCATTAAAACGTGGTGTTTATGAGAAGTCATATCCATTTTTGTATGGCATAACAGAACTTGATTGTTGTTGTTTTGTGGTTGTTTACTATTATTAAATCAAGGAGAAATCTACAAAAGTAAACAAAACATTATAATATTGATTTGAATGATGTGTAACCTCTAGTAATCTGATACAACAGTTCTTTTAAACGTTTCACCTTATCTAGATGTTCGGGACGCGGCGCCAAGCCAACACATTTGTATAACTGACGTTTCTGGATTCTATCAATCAGATCTCTGGCACCTTGTAACTCTGGTTCTGTCGACCACATTATTCGCTGAAAGATTGTATCATCCAGTTTCTTATACGCCACCATATCGTCTATACATTCATGCAATTGTCGTGGTGTACTGAAAAAAATTTTAGACCATGAAGAATGTGCATCCTTCTTTTAATGAATAATTTTAATAGAATGGAGAGAGAGAGAGAGAGCGAAAGAGAGAGATAGAGAGAGAGAGATTTTGGCATGTATCAAAACTTGACTTCCTGGATTATGGCAACTGATTGTACGGAAAATCACATTTTTAACTTGTGGAAGCAAATTAATATAAGCCTACTTGGCTTGTTTCTGTATCCCATTCTTTATGCTTTTATATTGTATATTTTTCTCGAAATAAATACTGTTTTAAACCAATCCAAAGATCTCGGTTCCTGTCAATATTCGCGTGTAACGGACTGTAACGTGTTGGATTATGGCCCCTGATTGAACGTCCACTCGACAAAACCTATGCCATTTCAGGACTTACATATGGTTCAATTTTATTTCAATGATTCGTTTGTGCCTAGGGGAGGACGCGGGGAAATCCCGCGAGGTTGAACAGGCGATCTACTCCTTGTCACTAGATACCCCCCCCCCCCATTTAAATGACAAGCCCATCATCAACTAGGTCTTCGAATAACTCTCTAGTTCATTGGATGACTGTAATATTAATTGAATTAGAACACATACACCATTTAATCAGTTAACGCATTAATCGAGACTTCGTTTATTATCGTAGCAATGACAACCACAACTACGCTATTCCTATCAATATTCATAACTTCGTTCATAATGAAGTAATTTGAATGAAATTTTCAATATATTCATTTACCATTATCTAATTGTAAACTATCATAGCAAGTATAAACTATTTAAATCTTACATAATGCATATACTTACTTATTTTCACCGACAAATTTATACAATTTATCTTTACAGAAATATAAATATACTTACTTATCTGTACCGAGAAATGTAAAGGTTTCACATTTATCAGCTATTATCAATGCATCTACAATCCTAGTTGAAATAGAAAAAAACCCAACAAATTATTATTACCATAACAACAGATTATTATCACCATAACAACAGATTATTATCACCATAGCAACAGATCATTATCACCATAACAACAGATCATTATCACCATAGCAACAGATCATTATCACCAAAACAACAGATCATTATCGCCATAACAACAGATCATTATCACCATAACAACAGATCATTATCACCATAACAAAAGATTATTATCACCATAACAACAGATCATTATCACCATAACAACAGATCATTATCACCATAACAACAGTTTAAATAGAAAAACACAGACTGTTGTCACCATAGAAATGAAATGAAATGAAATAGGGTTAACTGTAGGTTGATCTGTAAATTTGCTTCCACAGCAGCTTGTTTGAAGAACGATGGTGAGTGGGTTTTTTTATCACATGATCGACAAAAACAAAACATACAACCATTTTACTACGATTACATTGTTAAGGACTTTATACACCAACATTTGATGTCGTCATAAACAGAGTAAACTTACCAAAATCCAAAATAATGCTACCTCCCTCAACAAAATCTTTTTTTCGAATTTGCTGGAGTTCTTCAGGTAACCTTTAGGGAACCCTATATAAATTCACATTTTGCAATACTGGTATCAAGCTTAAGTAAAATTGATCTATTTGTAAAAATTGTACTTACATACTTTCTACAGCCTGTGTAACAGCATGCTGATAAGCTCGACTGTGTAGAGTTTTACGTGTATGAAACATTTCATATAAATTCTCTGCCTCCTGTCATAAAATAAAAAAAATAAATTCGGGATATAATCCAAATTTTAAAACCATTTTAAAGATACTTCAATCCGTGTAACAATTTGTACATAATAATTAATCATTTTCCCAGTAAACTACAGATCTTAAAACCATTTAAACAAGCGGTTGTCATGCAAGATACGCCCTATTTTGCAAGCGATTTTCGTATAATCAGGGGCCATAATCAATAAAGATACGGTCCAATATGCACGGATCATTGGGATATAAACATATGTTTTAAGTTTTATAAAAATAGGATAAAAACGCGTTCACAAGAGAAATATTTGAGAAGTCATAAAGTAAATAAAACGTGGTAATAACTTAAATTTTCAGATTTAACAGGCGTTCTATTATATGCTCAGATGAAAATATTTACTTAAAGATGCATTATATAAGAGAGAGAGAGAGAGAGAAATGGGGTTTAACGTCCACTCGACACAAACTAGGTTATTTCGGGACTAACATATGGTTTAATTTTATTTACATAATTCGCTTGCGCGTAGGGGTCTTTAGCAGTGGGAGGAAACCGGAGGACCCAGAGAAAACCCACGAGTTTGGACAGGCGACCCTACTTCTTGCCACGTACAGCCGGGGATTCGAAACCACGCCAGTCGACTCAATGACAGACTTTATGATACAGCGCGCGCACGCTTTTTTTTTTCTTGTAAATATGTTTATTCAATAAATATATAATCATAATACACTGTACATACATTTTAATCATGGAACAGCACAAAACATTCTTAGTTAATTAAAAGCATTATTTTTGTTTATTTGATTTTATTTATTTATTTTTAAAAACAAGAAAAAGGAAAAGACAAGAAATAAATTTCTGAATCAAAATACAGAACCACTGACACATTAACACATTGATGAAATAATAAATCAATAATTCAATGGATCAATATATTAATTCATAAATATATTTATATTAGGTTAATTAAAATATGTATTAAAAGGTTGTGCTATTCAATTTGAAAATTCAATCAAGATATAATTACACAAATTTACATAGTATGTACATATGATGTTAAAGCTATTGTTGCTAATCTGATATTCAGTAAGGGTAATCTAAGTCGATACGAATACTACAATTCATAGTTAAAAATCAAAAATTAGTTACTTTATTGTTTTCTAATCATTTATATTTAAAAGTGGATTCACTTTTATTTTACGTGCTGATAAGATTTTACACAATAAGTAGCAGACTAGATTTCTGCCGTCTGCGCGACGCTGTGTCCCAGTAGACTGTGCCAGGTATGCAAGCCTTTACCTTCCAGTTCTATTTTAACACTATACATCATAGAAGTCTTGTTCTTCCAGTGCTCTTACAATTTAACACTGAAAAGGGCTATTGGAAACCTGTTAAGGCAGAATTCTCTGGAGATAAATAATTTAACACAACTATCTTACCTACATCTTTATTGTTTTGTTTGTTAGTCACTAAATATAGTAAATTTTGGGACATAGAGGTTTGTCATTTAAGTTTGAAGCCTATTTTCATGTGAACAATGTTCAACAATTGTCACTCCAAGGAGATTATGAATTGATAATGTTTGATTCTTAACATGTATATAACATTTTCTCTGCACATTATTACCTTAATATAGTTCTATTTTGGCACTATTATATTTTAGCTTAAAGTCATCAAAAAATGCAGTATATTTATATGTTTAAGATTTTTATTAAAGTTTGAAGCACATATTCTCGTTGACACTGACTGGTCATACTGTCATAATATAATATATTTCATTTTTTTCTACCGGATAATTTATGTTTTGATATTAAATATTAATTATTTCCAACCATTGCTATTTCTGTATATGTTTAAAAGGATTTTTTGCTTTCCCAATTAATAATCTAGAATTACACTTCTGTCGTAATCTTATTAACGATCATTAACGATCATTCGTGTAAATTATTATTTTTCTCACACTTTTGCAATTTAAGTTTAAAGTCACCAAATTTGTATGATTAGGATTTTTTTTTTAAAATGTAAAACAGTAAGGTTCTTATATTAATATTTGGAAGAAGTGTAATGGGTTTTAACCTCTCAATGATCTGTTCCCACTAGCTCAGGAAAAGGAAATGAAATGAAATATGCTTTAACGTCCTATTGTTCTGTTCCGAACTGGTCGGCCTACTCTTATAATGCGTTTCAACTGCAAAGGAATCTTTAAACGTGTATGCCAAGGTGCACACAGGACCCCAGCCGCTCTTTCCATCCGAATGACTAGGCATGTCCCGCGCCACTGTCAAGGGGAAACCGTCAATAATTTATGTTATCATCAAAAATATTAATTATCTCTATCCATTATATAAAATTTTCTCTTCACATTATTACTTTGATACATTATTTTTTTAAAAAAATTATACTTAGGTTTAAAATCCCCATATATCGAACTATATATAAGATTACGGTTTAAATTAAAGTTTGTCCTAAATTTTTTCATTGACATTGACTGCATAGTGTCATGTAATAAATTTTCAAATCTTAGCTTACTGACTAGTTTCTGTTGTGATATTAAATATTATTTATCTCCATAAATGTTAGTTATATACATGTTTTAAAGGATTATGGTGTTGTAACAAAGAAACAAAACTAGACTTATACATGTTAGCTTATACCCCTAAAGTCTCGAATAGATTAGCGAAAATTTAAAACCAAACAGTTGTAAGGTTTTAAAAGGGTGAAAGTTTTCGAGACCATCCGGGCAACATAAATATGCCCGAAAATAACTATAACCCTGGAGGGGTTGTCTCGATAAAGTGTTTCGAGACCCGGGGGTATCAAAAATCCAAGGTTATAGATCCATCTGTTTCATAAATAAATAGAAGTGAGGGTTTAATAAATGTTTCATTGTGTTATGATAAGTACCAAACAATAAGAAGGATCTAAAAGTACAGTCATCAATACTAAATTTCAAAATATCATGAATTATCTCCCTTAGTAGTGATTTTAGGTTAACAAGTTTATCACAATCTACAAACATATGAATAATGTTTTCTATGTCTAATTTACAAACTGGGCATATATCTGAGTCTCTTATCTTAACTTTATATAATTTTTCCATTGTCCAGATAATGTTGTGTAATATTTTATAGTCTAGATCTATACTTCTAGGATTCTTGTAATTCTTAAATACATTTTTCCATATTACATTAGTATTAAGTGTAAAATTGTTTTTCACCCAATATTCATAGGAAGTAGATTCATTTACATAATTCTTTAATAAAATACTATAACATAATTTGGATGTAAGTTCACTTGAATTAATGTTCACATTATTAATACTTAAAGTGATAACATCTTTATTTTTCAGATCAGAAGTCTGAGTTTCAATAATAGATTTCCATCTTTCAGGAATTGATGATTTTACAATATCATACAAATTAATAATCTTATCTCGGTCATAATCTACATCCATATTATCCATATAGTCAATTATAGAATGATTGGGTAGAAACCCAGGTTGTACAAAATATATAATATCATAAATACACTGTTTTAAACAGTTTAAAATCTAAAGTTTTATTATTATCCTTGATATATTTATTATTAAAAATTGGCTGTATAGATATATCTTCAATAGTTAGAGGATCAGGTCTAACTTTACAATTTAAATCATCCCAGGCAGTGAACAAATATTGGTAAAATACAGGTAAATTTGATAAAAGCTTACTATCTAAATCTAGTTTTAATATATCTGTAGGAGTGGTTAACCCGGTATATTTACATATGTAATAATTCAATATATCTTTCCAGATATACTTGAAGTTGGAATCACAGAATTTTTTTAACCAGTTTAAACATAAAGCTTGACATTTTAATTTGACATTAGGTAAATTTAGCCCCCCTTCATTCTTTATATTAACACGCTAACCATTCAGCCATCCAACCCCCCATTAATGAACAATAAGACCAAGTTTTTATTTTTCGTTTCTTTCGTGGTTTTTTTGGGAGCCACGGTGGCTAGTTGGTTAAGACGCTTGCTCGCTAGCCTGGAGGTCGGCTGTTCGATCCCTGCATTTGCCGAGAAATTTCATCGGGATTTTCCGACGTGGTCTCCCCTTGTCAGTGGTGCAGAACGGAGGGCCTGACAAGGACAGCTGTCTAGTCCTTCGGATGAGACGAAAAACCGAGGTCCCGTGTACACATTGGAATGCACGTAAAAGGTAGCTTGGCAGTTGGAATTCGATTAAGAGTAGGCGATAGTGCCGCTGCCCGGGCAAAATTTCCTTCATAGCACACTGTATGGTGTATGCCCGTCTTCATTAGCCCAGTATAGGAGCAGAACAGTAGTACGTTACACCCCATTTCATTTCTCTTTCGTGTTCGCAAATGCAAATGGGGTGATAACTATACCCTGTATGTACAGCATTCACAGGAGACTGTGACTGGAAGTCGGACATGATAATATACTCCTACATTATAAACTTACTTTATCACGGATGCAGATCCGCTTTTCATCATATTCATCTTCGATGACACGACAAAATCGCATGAAACGATTATGATCAAAATTGTTTTTGATCCCCAGCATGTACGAATCACGAGCAAAGTAATCAAATTTATCTACGTCCACTGAATTTCTTTTATTAGCCACAATCTAAAACATAAAATCAAAATAGGTTGCCAGGCTATTTTTATGCAATTTATAGGGTTATATGCCAAAGACCCAGGTTCTTTTCAATATTGGCATGTATGGGACCATAAAATCGCCATCTTAGCTTGTTTTCTGTCCATACTGCCCATGGCAGCAAAACTGACCGAGCAGTTCACAATGGTTTTCAGATAGGGAGTTTAATCCCTTTGTTGGCTGCGAAAGTTTCTCGGGAGTTTCCAGTGTGGTTTCCCCCATATCAGTGATTTTATAGCTTATTTCATACAGATATTTTATAAATTTAAATTACTTCATATGTTATAAACTTACTTCATACAGATATTTTATATACTTAAATTACCCCATACATATATTTTATAAACTTATTTCAGACATTTTATAAACAGTTATTTTTATATTTTTATAAACTTACTTCATACAGATATTTCTTCTGGAATAAATAAAAACATTTATTAACAAGCGGTTGCCATGCACGATACGCCCACATTTTTGCAAGAGATAGACAGAGAATGGGGAAAATCAATGGGGCTTATACTCTCACTGTCCCTATGCTTCACATCCAATTGGGTCAAGGCTATTGCATAGTTTTAGGGACCTATCTCAAATTGGGGACAATGATCAATGTTAAAAAAAATATGCATTGTATAATATGTTGATTATAACATCTCAATATTCTAAGAAATAACTGCAGCTAAGTCTTCCGAACGGTCAACATTTCAATGCGGACGTATAAAAACAATTATTGTATCTCAAACAGTAACTGCTTTCACATGGACTGATGTGTATTCAATTACTAAATGTCGTTCAAACTGTTCACAACCAGTTACGACGTAACTTGGTGACTGGAATTAACGACTAGAAATTAATCTATTTGTCTTCTATAAAATATTTACTTACTTTAATTAAATGAAATCAACTAATAAGCCCACCCCCACCAAACAAAACAAATAATTATATTGACTTGAATGATTTATATTTTTTTTGTAATTTAAAAATGCACCAAAAACGCGTCATTTTTCCTAAATGCCTCTTAACGATCTTTAATTAATTGAATAGTCAAATACCAATAACTACCGATATTCTAAACCTTTTAATACAATGTTATAATAATAAACTTACTTTATCTGAACCTTTTAATACAATGTTATAATAATAAACTAACTTTATCTGAACCATTTAATACAATGTTATAATAATAAACTTACTTTATCTAAACCTTTTAATACAATGTTATTATAATAAACTTACTTTATCTGAACCTTTATCTTTGTCATCCGATGGTCCATTAATTAGTTCTTTAATAAATTCTCTCTCCTTAAACGTCAAATTATATTCTAGAAAATCTTTCTCCAGGTTGTTTTTTTCTATCAAATGATCAAACATTTGAATCGACGCCTCTTCGTGCTATACAGAGGAATAAATATATACAAACATAAATACTTGATTGAATTAGAATTGATGCCTCTTCATGCTATATAGGGGGAAAATATACAAACATTAATACTTGATTTGACACAGAATGGCTAGTGGCAGGTTCCAGGTGTTCCAGAAAGATTAAGCATACAGCATACCCTGTCCAAGTGCATCACACTATCAGCTACTAACAGCCAACTGAGGTACAGTATGGACAGAAAACAAGCTAAGATGGCGATTTTATGGTCCCATACATGCCAATATTGAAAAGAACCTTGGTCTTTGGCATATAACCCTATAAATTGCATAAAAATTGTGACCTACAGAGTGCCCACAAACAAAATGTGAACGGATGGACAGGAGCAACGACAATGTACTTCTACATAACAATGTGGGCGTATAAAAAAATAAAATATAATTGTGTGCTTTTCAGGAAGGCCTTAATTTTCATGTATTTAAGTTTAGAAACCGTGGAAATAGGTTGCTATCTGACTTACACATCCACACAAACTATAACAATAATCGGCCTAGTATCAGCCCCTACTTACCTTGTCCTTGTAATTATCAAAGCATGTGATTATATGAGGTTATATATTATCTCATTATCAACAACTAATAATGAAGGTTGATACGGGTAATAGCCACAATAAAATACCAATATTCGTTATGGGAGATAAAATCTGGGGTATTTAAACATCAGTAGTTGCTATGGGAGATGATGTAAACATCAGTAGTTGCTATGGGAGATAAAGTCTGGAGGTATGTAAACACCAATGGTTGCGATGGGAGATATAGTCTGGAGGTATGTAAACATCTATAGTTGCTAAGGGAGATATAGTCTGGAGGTGTTTAAACATCAATAGTTGCTATTGGGGATAAATTCTGGAGGTATGTAAACATCGATAGTTGCGATGGGGGATATAGTCTGGAAGTATGTAAACATCAATTGTTGCTATGGTATACAAGATATAGCTGGAGGTGTTTAAAGAAGATTACTCACTGTCCATTTAGATTCTGAAACAACTAACGGTATAAATTTGCCGTCGTATAAATGTGAGAATGGACCATGACCTGAAAACAAAAACCCAACATTAAATATACATCACTCAACCCAACATTAGATATACATCACTCAACCCAACAAGGTTATTTCTAGACTAACATATGTAAAATCTTACCCAGATCATGACACAGACCAGCTATTTTCAGACATAATACCTCAACAGGAGTTATATCAAGCTCTGGTTGTTGTTCTTGAAGTCGTGAGACCATCTCACCAGCAAGATGACAAACACTAAAATAAAGAGCTCGTTATCACACCGGAGCTATAGCTGTATCTGACAACATTATTACATTATATACACACTATAGCTTTATCTGACAACATTATTGCTTCAAGATGTATTGTTTATGATTTTGATACAGAGTTAGCCAATCTTGCTATAATATATTTACTTCATAAATAAATAATGAAAAATGAATATATTGAAAATTTCTTTAAAATTAATCTAGGGAGAAATTGTATAAATTTCAACATAAATTTGCGTCAAACCCATTTCTCTCTCTCTCTCTCTCTCTCTCTCTCTCTCTCTCTGAGTCAAATAGGGTGGTTTCGAATCCCCGATTGTACGTGAAAAGGATTAGGGTCGCCTGTCCAACCTCGTGGGTTTTCTCCGGATCCTCCGGTTTCCTCCCACCGTTAAAACCCCGAATCATCGAAATAAAATTAAACCATATGTTAGTCCCGAAATGACATAGTTTGTGTCGAGTGAACGTTAAACCCCATTTCTCTCTCTCTCTCTGAGTCAAATAGGGTGGTTTCGAATCCCCGATTGTACGTGACAAGGATTAGGGTCGCCTGTCCAACCTCGTGGGTTTTCTCCGGATCCTCCGGTTTCCTCCCACAGTTAAAACCCCTACGCGCAAGCGAATTATCGAAATAAAATTAAACCATATGTTAGTACCGAAATGACCTAGTTTGTGTCAAGTGGACGTTAAACCCCCTTTCTCTCTCTCTCTGGAAATGGAAAATGAAAGAAATCAATGAATCAAATTGGGATTTAACGTCCTACTTTTCTGTGCCGATAGGGCTAATGTAGACATTCAAAGTTTCACTCATAGCACAATGCACGACATATACCCGTCTTCATTTCATTTTTTGTACATCATTCAATTAATAGTCTATAGGAAATATATATATTCTAACATACCCTATGGAATGTTCAAATCTATTATGTGATGCACCAGGGAAGACATAATAACAAGCACCTAGTTGTTTTAAATAACGTAGACGTTGAAATTCTGGTGTATCAATAATTTTTATACAAAGGGGATGAATTTCAATATGGCCGTGAATAGGATCATTGAATACCTGTATAAAAGAAATAAAACAATATTAAAATCCATGGACTATTTTATTTTTGATTATCTGGCAGGACAATAGGCAAACCTACAAACAGAATATGAACATTTGTTAACCTCATTTTACCAAGAGATCTTTATTTTCAAAAGATGATACACAAAATGCTGTTCATTTTTCGAATCCTTCTCTGCCAATAGAAACCAGTTTCTCTAGAGTTTCTGTACCATTTTCCCTTCTCAGTTTATTTACAAACCCGACATACCAACCCTCCCGGTTTATTTACAAACCCGAACGATTTTCAAACTCGACATACCAAACCTTTCAGTCCATTTTCAAACACATAAGGCGAATGGTGGTGGTTAGGTCGGGGATGGTAAAGGCTATTTCATTGGCTAAAATTTGGTTACAATGGCAAAATAGATGATTGAATTCTGGATTTTCCAATTCTATTACTGACTTATTGTAGGATTAAGTATGATTATCTAGCCATGTTCTAGCAGTAGAGGGTCCACGGTGGATCATTGAGTAAGACGTTGGCTCATTAACTTGGGGGTCACGTGTTCAATCCCGGTGTTGACAATAGTGGTCACGTGATCCTATGGAGGTTGGCAGCCATTTTAGACTTCTGTCATTCTTTCCCGGTTGAAACATGGCGGCCGGTCTCCAGTGACGGCCCACGGCGTTAACGTTACGCCAATGGGGATCACGTGACCACAATACACTCTAGTCAATATATACCTCTATGGTGTTGACCTAGAAATGAAATGAAATGAAATGAAATGGGGTTAAACGTCCTACTGTTCTGCTCCTAACCTGGGCTAATGAAGACGGGCATACACCATACAGTGTGCTATGGGGGGAATTTTGTCCGGGCAGTGGCGCTACGGCCCTACTCTTATATCGAATTCCAACTGCCAAGGGATATTTTATGTGCACGCCAATATGTACACGGGACCTCGGTTTTTCGTCCCATCCGAACGACTAGACAGCTGTCCTTGTCAGGCTCTCCGTCCTGCATCACTGACCTGTGGTGCAAAGAACAACGTATTATCTTTCAGATGGGACGAAAAAAAAACCCCAAGGTCCTGTGCACACAAAGGAACCCATGGCAGTTGGAATTGAATTCTATATAAGAAAGAGTAAGCCGCTGTCCGGGCACAATTTCACTCATAGTACAGTGTATGACGTATACCCGTCTCCATAATCTCGCAATAGACGACATATCTAAAAACTAAACACTAAGGGGTTGGGGGGGAGTGGGCGACAAAAATATTTGTCTAGATGTTCTGGTCGATCTCAGAACGTAGCCTATATAATCTGAATAGTTTAGAGCCCACCTAAAACAACATAGTGGCACATGCGCATGTTTTCCGGTAGGACTATTGACGATGTTAGACAGATTAACAAGTTACAACAACGTTAAATTTTAATAAACATGTCAAAGAAAAGAGTTAGAAGATAAGTAAATAAGTACCTTTCCTGGAGTTATTTTATCAGCCATACTGTGAGAAACTAAGAATATAAAAAAAGATATGATGCCAGGCGACGAAACATACGCCCACAGCAGTTAAGCCATTCAAGCAGTTCACAAGGGTTGTCGCATATTTATTTCCAAGACACCCAACAAATTAAAGTGGTATTATGGAAGATTAGATAAAGAGCTGGCAGTTCACACTACAATAATTAAAAACTAGATAAAGTATAAACAATTTGCTGAAAATTCCACACAAATTGATCCTCTCTGAACCGTCATATTGGATTTTGAATTTTAGGCCTAGCCTCGATCATCATTACTAAAGTCAGTGCGATAAAAAACATAGTCTTGAATATCCAGTTTTAAATCATCAAAGAGCGTTGCGCAGCAAATCGGATTCAAATCCAGTAAATATCGGTTTTTCTTTTACTCGGGTTATTTGCTTCAGTCTTTCTTTCCCCAGTATAACCCCAGTCTCGTGATTTATCCTACACGTAACCTGCGACGTGTTTCGGCAGAGGTCATAGATCGATATTCTTATGTCATTGATTATAGAGCTCATTGTGCTACCTGGGAGGTTTGTATAACCGTATGCCATGCACCTTAACTATTTCTACAAAAATCCAATTATAGTTTTTAGTTACACACTGTAAGAGAGCCATTGAATCGTGATATATTGTATGTGTTGATGTGCTTACAATTTGTCAAGTGTGAGCGGGATATCTCTTCACACTTATTTCCCTATACAAGAAATAAAACGTGCGAAGCCTCGCCCCCGTGTTGGTCTAACGACACCGTCATCATAATATACATGTATGCACCTAAATGAGCAGAATAATTGTTTCAGATTTTACAAAATTCTCCGGTAATCCTCCTAAACCTCAGGCCAAACGTGACGTTGCCTCAACCTTTATGAACTCTCTGCTCAGATTCCTGAATAGGACACCGTTTGGGGGTGGGGCAACTTCAAGGTTGTCCTAACATGATATCCAGATTTATTCAGATGAATTTACTCACCCCGAGTTATGATTTTCCTTGTTTCACTTGACTAAATTAACATTTTTAGAAATGTAGGCTTTTATAGATCGAACAAAAATTGGAGATAAGGCTTGAACCGCCCCATCTAAATTATTTCTTAAAGCATAGTGAAGCTTGAAATATGTCAGTTGTCACACTTTAGAATGCTTTTGTAAACAAATTTGTACTGTAGTGTCGGTAACGTATTCCCAATAATAGTTTTAAAAAACCAGCGGCTGCCAGGCAGGATACGCCCACATTTTGCAAGAGATGGATCGAGAACCAGCTAAAAACAAACGCGATTTTTTGTACAATCAGGGGCAATAATCGAGAAAGTTATGGTCTTAAAGGCGCAAATATCAAAAGAGACTGAGATTTTTGGGATATAAAGATAAGTTTTAAGTTTCATCAAAATCAGATAAAAATTGTGATCTCTACAGGGTCCACAACCTTCATATTGCATACTTTTACACAATTTGCGTACAACGAGCGGTCATTTTGTCAAGCAGTTTCATTTCGATTTTCCCGAAATTCGAATTCAAACTTTATTATGGTGGAATGTGACCACTAGAAAATCCACAAGCTAAAAATACGATTTTTCGACCAATCAGGGGCCATAATCCAGGAAGTTACCTTCGGTTATGTGTGATTATGAAAAGGAACCAAGATCTTTATGATAAAAACATATATTTAAATTTTCATCCAAATCGCATATAAACTGTGGACTCTAATGTCTCCACAACCTTGATATACCATATTTGTACACTGTTTGCGTACAAGGTACGGCCATTATATCCGTCAGTTTTTGTCAAATTTTCACGGAATTCGAATTCAACCATCATTAGTGTATAACTGTGATATATTCACACGGTTTTTTTTTTAAATTGGATAAAAATTGTATCCTCTATAGGGACCACAAGCTCAAAACGCGATTTTTCGTACAATCAAGGGCCATAATTCAGGAAGTTACGATCGGATATGCGCGAATATCGACAAGAACCAAGATCTATGGGTTATAGATATGCGTTTCAAGTTTCATCAAAATTGTGACCTCTAGGAGATCATTTGACCAATCTGCCAGTAGATATACAGCCACTGGTCAACAAATGTTTTTCAACGGGTGTGGGGGGTGAATGGCCGAATGTTTTGTAGGCGTGTGCACGTTGCCTCATAAGGACTGGCGTGGTTGTACGTAACAAGGGGTAGGGTCGACTGTGC